TTCAAATAGCTACTCTGAACAATATGTACCAAGTATTGGCACTCAACTAGCACAAAGACATCAAGGTTGTTTGCTTTATTTAATGGCTATGTCACTTAGGTTAAAAAAAAATTCATTGCAAAGGAACCAAGAGGAGCTTTGGAGCAATTTTAAACTGCATAAGTCCTATGGTGGATTGATTTATAATTTGGATGGGTCAATTTAATATTCTTCTATATACATATATTCTATTGCAACATAAGAATGTTCAATCACACCTAAAATAGGATAATTTGTTATTCTTAAAATTCTAATATAGTAAAACCAAAATTTAATCTAAAAAATATGTATGGTTTTTATTTATTTATAGAAGTTTGTAGATTTTTCACTAAAAAGAAATTTAAAAAATTAATATTAAATGAAATATAGATTAAAAAAAAATTATAAAATAATTAAAAAATATTGTAAAAAAATAGATAAAATTAACATAAAATAATTTTAGAAAATAGAATCCTTTAAGTCTTTTGATACATCTTTTAGAAGATAGAAATCTATACAAACTTGTAAATCAATAGTATAGTCATATGTAACTAAGGCAGAAGAAATATATATATATATATATATATATATATATATATTATAATAATAATAATAAAAAGATATTAGATAACTATTGCTAAGTTCAAAAGAAACTATAAAATATTTAGTTAAAATAAAAGTATCTAAAAGATGTTAACAATATAATCATCTATGTATACTAATTAATAAGGACATGTGAAATATTCTTTATGACCATTTTCTTGTAGAATAAGTCCATAAGTTATGAGAAACTATTATGGTGGCTTTTTAAATCTATTAATTTCATGAAAGAAGTTTGTATAGTTATATAATACATCTAAAATCATTCTTAGATCCAAATTGCATCTAAAAAGCTCAAAAATGTTTATTCACGCACGATATAATTTTTTATTTTTTTATTTTTTTATTTGAATAATTTAAGTATATGTAACATTATTATTATTATTATTATTATTATTATTATTTCTAAAGATAGACTCTATAAAAAGTAATTATATTTTAAGTTGCTTTACATTTTAATAACATCTACAATACATTATATGGTATTTTTTTACAAACATCAAATTATGCTCTATGAAAATGTAGCCAATAGATTATTTGAGTCTTTAGTATTTTTTTAAATATTAGAATAATAGATCTATTTCATGATTTGATTATTTTTCAATAATTTTTTTTCAAAAATGCTATTTCAAATTGCCACTAAATATAATATTTATATCTAATAACATTACTAAGTACCAATAGTATCTCATAAACCAAATTTATTTTATCTTATAACTTATTTAAGAAATACCAATTCATTTTAATAATCTTCATTTTGGTTTTAGAAACACAAAGATTGTGTCAATTGAAGCATTTTATCAAAATTTAGTATAAGATGGTTTTATATAGATTTTAAATTTTTTTTTAGTCTTTTAAGAAATTACAATTGATATATAACTACAATACTATTCTAATAAATTTAATTTCGAAATCCTAGAGTTGAATAATTTTATGGATATGATTATACAAATATATAATTTTAATAAAAATAATTATAATTTACAAAAAAAATAATTTTAGTTAGCATAATTGTTTAATTTTTTCTCTACTATATAATTTTTGAATATTTCTATATACTAATTGTAGTAGTGAACAAAATTGATGAATTTCAAGCATGAATTGATTTATTATTATTATTTTTTAGTATTTACGTTATAGGTATTTATTTTTTATGTATGTGATAATTCTACCATAATTGTAAAAACATTGATATACTATGAATTTCTACATAAGAAAGAGAAGTATAAGGAAATAAAAGAAAATAAATTAAATGTAAGTATAATACTTCTTTAGTACAACATAAGTTGCAATCTCTATATTTCTTTAATGCTTTCAAGAAAAACTATGCACTCTATTATTTAGTAAGAAATATTAAAATTTTTTATTGTATTTTGTTAATATTTTTTAATATTTTCTAAAAAATATCTACATATAGTTATAAAAAAAATTATTGTAAGATAATTAGAAATTAAAAAAGAATGTGATCTAAAAGTATATTTCAAAATGGCTAATGCCAAGTACATGAGATAAGAAAACAAATAAATAATAGAAAGATTATGGATGATCTCAATCTTGCTTCTATATACATTCATTAGATAATAAGTTTGGTAAGAAACTTCTTTAATCCAAGTATAATGTATAGAACTTGCATAACTAAAAGTAAAACAATTTATTACCATGAGACTTTCCATTTAATTAGTAAGATTTATCATTTAAATCAAGAGCTATAAAGGAAGCAATGCTCATTTGGTTAATTTGGCACCAAAAAGTGGGTGCAAATGTATAGAAAATGAAGGATAATCCAAATATGTTCCTAAACTATACTTGATGTTTGCCTAAAACACCAAAAATAATTATATACAAATTTTAGGAATATTCTTGAAGAAATAGATTTGGGATTAAACTACATCATTAATACATAAATTAATATCAAGCATAAGATACTCTAGTCCATGGAAAATAGACAACAAAATATATTTGCGCGCAAATTATTGCCAATGTTGAAATGTTTAGGTACTATATAGTCTTTTCTTTAAAAAATATGCATTTGGACAATATGGATTTAACATAATATGTTTATTTTTAAAATACAATATAAGAGGATGTACAAATCAAGAACAAAGTATGATAAAACTTATTAGAATATGATAAAAAAAGTGTGAAAAGTCATTGAGAAAAGATGGGTAGACAATTAAATAACTATGGTGTCATATCTTAACATTGGAATAATACTTGGATGATCAAAAAAACAAACTAGAGAATATGGTTGATATGAAAATTAAGTGGCATGCATAAATTCTTTTATGTGGTATAATAAAACTTTGAAAAGCACATAGTTATTCAACACTACTTGAGTAAACTTTAGACCCTAAAGGTCCTTAAGCCTCACCCTAAGTTTAATGTAATTTTTTAAAAACTCATTTAAAGCATTTGATACATCCCATTTTGTTCCAAAAATAAAAACAAGTTATACATTCTTATAATTTTTTTCAAATTTGTTCAAACAATCTCCAAATTTTACTCAACATGATACTTACTCCAAATACTTGTAAGCTAAAAAAGAATCAAGTTTTAAGATATTCTCTTCTTTTCAAAAAATACACAATCAAAACATCTCGTTGATAATCTCTCCAAATCCACCCATAACACAACATTATCCCACTTTACTAATTAATGCAAGCCTCTTCATGTTGAATTTCCTTGCTAGCACATGCAAGGCCCTCCATTCATTTGATTCATAATGTGCCATAGAAGATGTGACAAACCCTAAATCACCTTCCACTTCATGCAGATTTATGCTCTTTCCGCCACATCTTCACCATCCTAGACAACCTCAGGCTACACAAAATTGGGTCTATTTCATGCCGCTCTCAAAAAACACCATGTATGCAGAATGATGCTGTTTAAATCCCCAAACCCTAACCCTAAATCCTGAATCGTGAAGAATTGGGTCTGCGTCGTGGTCTTCAATTTTTGTTATCCTCTACTTCACTTCGTGGTATTTCTGTTCTTCAATTGTGTCATTCTCACAGGAAAATTTCGAGGTTCTGAGGGGCATTGGTGTGTTACTCTTTCTCAACGCCTTTGTTTTGTGTCATTCTCCATGCAATTTGTGCCCCACCCCGCGTAAATTGTCCGTCTGAGCACTATCTTTGGAGGCTGTCGGAAGTCCAAATCCTAGTTTCTGGCCGAAATCAACATCCACAATTGCGAAGGTATTCTTCGTTCTGAATTTCTCTCCCGTAGACCTAAGTGTTGGACTACAGAAGGGGATTCGGGAAACGATCCGCTGCTTCGTTATAGAGTTTCGATATGATTGCATGAGAGAATGTGGTGTATCATTGCTGTGCTGTGTCGACTGACATGAATGGATCAAGTAAAAGCACTACTGCACATGTCCACAACTGCATACAGTGGAGGCAAAGCAGGCACAGTCTTGCTGTGGAAGGTCCCAGAAGAGAAAATGCTCACCGGCGCAGGTTGGAAGGATCAGTTGGTTAAACTTAATCAAGTATCGCATGTTGTAGTGTTTTGCTCTTCTTCTCAAGCCGCTCTCTGTCCACTTAGAATCGCACGTGTTAGTGGGACGAACAGATCGTCACGTATCCCTTCATCACAGTGTGGAAGGACGCGGTCACAGCCGGTTCCAGATCCAAATCCAATCGTGCACCACAAAACATGAACGTTAGCCTAAAAAGAAAAAAAGGAAAAGAACAGGTGTATGGATTAGGGCTCGCTGCGACAAATTGCTTGTGCAACTCCTCGTGGGCTGACCCACTGATGTACTTGCGTGTTGTTTCGAGGCGGTTGTGTGCTTCGTGTCTGGTTTGATTTTATCCTCCAATTCCTCAATGGAAGTTTAGGTAACTGTCCCCTTTGATGATCCACCCCTTCTTGTCGGTTAGGATCCGATCATCGGAAGGTGATTCAGGAGAGAAAGCGCAGGTCGCCTGGGAAAAATTGTTATGCGTGATGTCTCGCCAGCTGTTTTGTATCAAAACAATTTTTCCACCTTCGAAGAAATCTTTGTCAAGACGGTGACACTACCCCATAGCTCAGATTGATCACTTGGATCGTATGGTTAATTGTCTTGGTAGAGTGAGAAATCTTTTTTCAGCGTTAACTTGATTGCCAGTTTCTTAACCTAATTTTGCAAATCACCTTACGCAGGTGGGTCTCCTCCTGACGAGAGCCTTGCCGCAGCCAATGAAACACGATTTACGCAAGTCAACGTGACAACACTACATTCAACCTGATGATTCAAACTTAAGAAGGGGAAAGCGTATGACAGTTTTGGTTAAATGCAGTCAAGCGTCAAGCACTAATGGTTGATACTGTATGTCCGCAGGTTATTAAAGTCATTCTCTAACTCCTGGACTTCGGGCCAGCTGCTCCAATAGTGACGCAAAGTGAAATGGCTCCAGGTCAACTTTCATAGCGCATGAATGTATCGATGGCAGCACCCAGAACGGCATTACTTTCAAACATTAGATCTATCTTCCATCCTGGCACACCCAAAATAATTTCTGCTAATGCATTCAATAGTAGATTCTCGGCAGTCTTTGTTGTCGGTAACGTAGTTCGAGAGAGCTGGAATCAGACAATGCTGGGGTTCTCGGCTACACTAATGGACTTCCGCCGTCGCATTAGGGAAGTAGCTGTGAACGGCTCGAGTACCCATGATCGATTGTATTATGAGAAATCTGAGCTGTGGGGTAATCTGACTCTTTTGGTAAAGATTTCAACGAAGGTGGACAAACTTTGCATCGAAAGTCTATTGGTGCTAGCTTGTTATTGGGCTACGTCACTATTTCTTTGAAGTGCAACTAGTTGCTCTAAGTATGCGTTCATTTCTCGCTCCTTCGCACTTAAATGTTGCCGATCCATGGTGTCGGAGTGGTGTGTCCCTGTGACAGTGCCCTGGTAGTCAGCCATGCCAATGTTGTTCCCTCTCATGGCCTTTTCATTCATGGCCCTAATGTTGCGATCTCTCAGCTTTTGGAAAAAATTAAGAGGATTCAAGCTGGACAACGATTTCGCGTGTTTCTCTTCCGCACTGCTTGTTGCAACTGGCCCATGGTTGGCCTTACTGGCTGTACCGCAAGACATCGGAGGGCTCATGTAATTCTCCAGCACGGGTTCCACAGTCGAGTGCTTCACCTGGTGTCCCATGGCAATCGGATAATCTGACAATTAATGAATTCTGTCTCATCCTCGACAAAGTGAGAAATCTCAATGTCAGACATTCCGAGTGACCTTCGGCTACAGCAACTTGATTGTCTAAGAAGATAGAAATATGAGAAGCAACAGCGACAGACAATGACTCGCACAATAATAATTACAATAAATGCTTCTATTGACATAGAAAATGAAGTTTTTGATAAGGGTACCTCTTCACGTTATGAGGAAGGTTGAATCTGAAGTGAGGACATCAGTTCGATATAGAGATGCGGAAAGATGAACGATTAAGTGAAGTCGGCTTCACCGAAACCCTGGGACATATATGCGTTGCTTCGATTACTGCAGCCGAATCCGTTTGCAGATCCAATGCTACCACGATTTCTTCATATTTTGCATGCTGAACAAGGTCTGAAAGAGACTACATTACTTCTCTCAGATTACTACAACGTTGCCGGATGCGCAAACCCAACACTCTTGCAGTGGCGTGGAGTCCCTATGAGCACTTACACCAAGCTCTACAAAGCTTCAACCCCTCCGCAAACAGAAAGCCTTCGTCTACATAAAACTTCAACTCTATCGACAAATCCAACAGCTTTCAATGCACGATTAAAGAGCAGCACAAGTAGCTGATTGGAACACCTCAATAACTGTGGGTACTAGATGAGAGCTAATGAAAAATGCTCCTATATTAGGAGATATACTTATTTTCATCACACAACCTGGATGTCAATATCGATCGGTAAAATGACGACGTGAGATGCAAATCAGTGTGTTCACACGCGATTTGAATGGTGTACTACTTGTTGGACCAATACAGCAAAGACTGCGACTGCCCGTAAGTATTCCGCAGATTCATCTTGATTGAAAATTTCAGTATCATGCTCGCCTTGGAAACTGCTCCATATTCGATGAAGCTGATGGGTTAAACCTGATAGGTCTGTCTTTTGGCCGCTGTCATTCCATTTGATCAGTTAATCTCTAGCGGTGGATATGGAAACTTGGCAAGTGTTCCGGGTGTTGCTTCTCAACTGAAAGTAACGGCGATTAGTCTCTTAGGGGTAATACTTGCCATGGCGTTCAAACACTGCACAGGGTTATGTTGGAATTTTGTTGGCAAGGAGACTCGGCGTTTTTGAACGTGGAAAAGCGAAGCTTGCATGTCAATATTGCAAAATTACGTCCACGGAAGAAATCAATGTTCATTCAAGTGGAATGTAGGAAAATTCTACGCTGGCTTGCTACATACTTGACAGTCACTCAGGACTTATTTTGATCGATTGTCAAAAATACTGCCACCACTTGCAATGTTCTAACGACGTGGTTGAACCATTAAACTTAGATCGGAATTGCAATTGCAAATTGCATGATGGAAGAATGTGGTAGCCATGCTCTGAACAACAACGTGAGAACCTCCCGGCAGAGGAACTCAAAACCAACACCCCAGGTTCCAGTACTTGAAAACAATGAGACGACGCTCAAATTGTATTCGGCATTTCAACTACAACAATATTAAAAAATTACCAATGACAATCACCACGTGGGGCACCAGATTGTCGTGAATAGGTGGGTAGTTTTGTGGCACTGTTGCAGTGCTTTTAGCATGTTAGAGTAAATGAATTGAATGTACCCCTGAAATTGCTGACTGTGATAACGATTGATCTGACTCGTGAAATACACTCTCACCAAAAAGCAATTTGGAAGACATCAGTCACAACGTCATGAGACAATTTTTCAGAGTGGATGCAGCTTAAAGCACTCTTCATTGTCGTGTTTGTTGATTACTGCATCATCTGTTGGTAAAATGTGCAGCAATGGATGACTCCTCAACAATGCGAATCAATTTCTTACGCAACAAACTTCCCATGTCGATGTCACTTCTAGCTTTGGTACAACGGCTAGATTTTGGGGCTGCTCAAAGTGTACCCAACGAATTGGCAGCAACCGTTTGGTAGATTATACAGGCCCATTCGAATTGCTAGTTTTTCGAAGTTGGAAGCATGGACAAGGCAAAGACAGAAAAACATGTATTCTACGATATCGTGTATTGCTGAATGTTCTCCTTAAGCCAGAGCATGCCAGTCACTCATGGTTCCTTCTCACCTAACGGACTTCAATATCTGACTGCGATGTAAGCCCCAGGCTAAAACCTCATTTGTCTTGAGCATTTTTGTTTTTCACTGTTTTTGAAAGGATTACGCTCTTTCACATGGGCTTGTCCATTTCACAAGCGTCCCACGCCAATGCCAGAGAAATACTTCAACTGCTCTATGACGTTGGTTTTTGAAAAGGATATCTCAATTGCAAGAAAACACCCGGATGCCATGAATCGCCCTTCAAACGCAGAAGTCATGACTCTATAAATTGTTTGGGAGAAAATAACAGCCTCCTGCTCTGGCAACCAGCAAAAATTATGGCGAGCTTCACGTACCATGTCTGATCTACAGAAATTCGTGGTAACAGAATGTGGTAGGCATCTGAGGCTTTTAAGTGGGCATAGCGTGGTACCAATTTTACAATCCTTGTAAATTATGGAGGTGGTGACTCATTCTATGTCATGCTTCGGGCTTCATAGCAAAGGTCTCCAGCACCTGGAACCTTAATCCAAACAGGTCTCAAACTGCGGGGTTATTCATCCTGCAGATCTTGAGGTTTTGCACCCAAATTCCAATAGGATGGTGAAATTTTCCGCACTTGGATCTCCAAGGTGGAAAGTCAAGTTCTGAAACTCACCAGCGTCGAAGCGTCTAGCCACTTTATTCAGTAAAGTGTAGGCTGTTGGTTACCAAGATGACAGATCCCTTGAGTAGATTAGACCAGTTGCAAGTAGATTAGAGTCATTCTTCCTTTATTTCTGAAGAGCATCACATTTTCGGCGGTTTTTATTCATTATTTATTATTTGTACATTATTTTTTCTATTTAACACAGTTGAAGACACTCTTCTCCTTCCTTCAGTTTTTCTGTTACTAGGAACAATGAGCACAATGCTGTTGCCATTATCATCTCTGATTGTGCACGAGGTGTGCTAGTGAGCAATCACAAGAGGGTTCAACACCATGTGGAAGAATTACTGTTCTAGGGCACCACTACTAGTGCTCGATGTCCTTAATGACCCCTTCGTATTCACATTCTCCTCAACGCCACACAACCAGTACACTCAATTCCACTCATGATCTCAGTACCTTCCACAAAGGACGATGGCTCAGACGTTTCGCAGAGTTTTCAACCCGAAATGTGCAGCACAGTAATTGCAGTTGATGGTAACATTATAAACTCTGTTGCCCTACAGAGACCAAAACACAAAGAATCCGCAAAAACACACGTACACACACACACACACAGACACGATGCTCCCTTTAAAATCCACTGCAAAACTCTGCAATCTGCCTAACCATCCGCATCGAGATCAGCATCACCGAAACTCCAGCATACGTAGCTTGTCCTGATCAGATATTTCCATGAATCGCAGTTGGATTCAGGCTGCAAGCAGTCCTGGTGGGTGCCACGCCAGTGTTCAGGTGGACCATGCAGATCGTGTGGACCGATCGATGTCTTAACCTGGAGCCAGCTTTGTCGCATTGAATGAGAGCTCCATTGCGGGACGTGTCTTCCGCATGGCCCTCCTGTTGACGTGACTTTGATATTGCGCATCACGTCATGGCCTGCACACAAACAAACAAACAAACAAGCAAAGTCTCCTCTCTGCACCACCTTCATCGTCAGCCTCTGGGAGTTGACGACCCCATAGCGAGAGCCCAGCAGCAGCAGCAGCAGCACCCCTATCACACATCCTGCACAAAATTAGTGTGCATCAAGCACCTCTCTCAACACACAAACATTCTCATAAGCGCACACACACAAATACACGCACACACACACATACACAAGAATTCTATTTTTCTGCACCCCACATTCACTTATCTAGTTTTCTGTTCTTATATCATATTGTAACACCGCAGATTGAACGATGGTTGTTACCATGACAGATGAAGAAAAGGAATCGAACAAGATGTTTTTTCTGTCTCTGTGGAAGAGTGAAATATTGCACCGCAGTCATTGTTTCACAGAGTTCTCGACACTTTGTGTTGCAATTGTATTGCAATCGCATTTGTGTTACAAGTGTTGAGATTTGTGATTATTTACCAGAACATGATAGTTGTTTTTTCTCATGAAATTAAGGATGGTAATTAATGGTAGTTTCTGTGATGTAATATTTTCAATGAAGAATAATAGAGTTTTGGAACATATCTTTTTCTTTTGATTAGTTCTCTCTTTCAAATCTTTAAACCTGCTAGATTGAATCGAAGTTTGTCAGATGTTTAATTACAATGGATTTTTTACTAATGTAATAATATTATGTGTTGAATGTATTATATGAATTTAGATGAGATTTTTAACTTTTACATTCTTAATAAAATAGACTTACTATCTAGAGAAAATGTGAAGACCACAATCACACCTGATTCTTTTGCCTAAATAGGGTTTACAAGATTTTATCAGTAATAATTAGGATTTTAATTAAATCACCCATGTATATTAATACATATACATGATCAACCAGGACGTGCACAGTGGTAGTGGACGCACCTTGCAAACCCCGCATGCAATGCAACCCAATTCCAATTCCGAGCAGTAGTAGCACCCACTGCACCTCTGCTCTCCTCTGCAACAATCCAATCCAATCCAAGCCCTCACTGCAATTTGAAACACTGCTGCTGCACCCCCCCCACAGCACACTGCATGCATTCCCTTTGCCATAAGAAACGCAGCTCCTCCAACTTCTTCTTCTCCTACCACCACAAAAAGACCCCCTTGGTATCATCATCATGGTTGAATAAAGAGCCCAAAATGGCTGGCTGAACCCTCTCTCCACACACACACACACACTCTCTCTCTCTCTCTCTCTCTCTCACACACACACACAGTGCTGTGCTATGCTGTTCTGTGCTGGTGTTGTTTCCAGGGCAAGGCAGAGAAAAGAGAAGAGAGAGGGTGGTGGTGGTGGTATTATTATTATTATTATTTGGTGGTGTGTGAGAGTAGTGCTCTTCCTCTGCACACCCCTCACTCACTACCACTACTACTACTACATTCAAGCAAACAAATAAATTAACAACAGTGTTGCTATGCTGTCACCAGTCTCAGTAGTGGTGGTAGTAGTAGTAGTACTGTCTCATGGGCCACAAAGTGGGACTCCAATCCAAGTGGGAGGAAGGAAGGGAAGCACTTAACTTCACTGGACTTTACAATTGCATTGCATTGCATTCTTCCCTTCATTCCTCCTCCTCCTCATGGGCTCCTCCCAGCAGCAGCAGCACTGCCTTCCAGTTCCAGTGACACCTGGGATCCACATACTTCACTACACCTGGTTCTGGATTAACTTTGAGGTAACCACAATCCTCACTCACACAACAACAACAAACAAATGAACAAGACAAAGAAGAAGAAGAAGAAGAAGGAGATAATCAATATTAATAATAGTAATAAGACAATTGCAAAGAACATCAACCTGCTTTGTGAAGTGTGACAAAAAAATAAAATAAAAAATAAAAAATAAAAAATCACCCACCCACTCCATTTGGATGCAAACTTATAAATTTCTAAACTTAAATCAATTTTGCAAACCGAATAATTCTATTTTTGGTTTCTAGAGTGATTTTGTATATATATCTATCTACATGAAAAAATATTGACTAGCCTATGTTTGGCTGGAGCAGTAGGGTGATAAAACCCAATTATGGATTTAACCCAATTACTGCCAAGTTACATGGCGCTGTTTGTTTTGTTTTTTGGCTTCCAAAAACGTACTTGACATTAGCAAAGCCAATGGTTTAACCACTATTATATATATATATATATATATATATATATGATGTTAGACATGATGGATAACCATCTATAAGAGTGATTCAATTGATGGGATGTGGAAGTGCAAAGGTGGGACAAGGTGGCTATTGTGACAAATGTTGTATCATGTTGGGTTAAAAATCTTAAGAAAACAATATGGATTTCAAAAAAGAATGGTTTTCCGCTTGCTTAACATGATTTTTTTTCATATAATTATTTCTTCTGATATAATTATAGAGGGTGTAAAATCTTATCCATGAGCAACATAATTATCATTGATACTTTTCTTGTTTATGTTTATTATACTATTACTTATTTGCCTCTAGTCTAGCCTTCAAAATAAAAACAAAAAAAACTTCTCAAATTCTAAATATATATCTATCTTAAAAAAAGCTTAATGTTAGCATCATCTAACTCTTGCAAGATATACATGACAATATTTAAAACTAATAAAAGGAAAAACGACATACTTTTACAACAATCATAAAATGTCTTAGTATCAATAATATCTTTCTAAGACAAGCATATCCAAATAAAAGATCATTTTATGTTAGAATAATAGGCTTCTATTTCAACGTCAAAGCTACAAGCATGTATTTAGTATTAATACTATATGTATTCTTGTTAGGCAACAAAAAAAAAATCACAAGCTTTTGTTGAGGACTAAAAGTTCTTTTACATGTTTTGGTGAAAATGTTCATGGTTAGCTGATAACCTTCCCTTTTGTTTTTAATTTTTTAAATAATCATTTAGTAAAATTGTTGAGTTTAATTTTAATTCATGAGTGCTTATTTGTTTATTTGTTTGTTTGTTTTTTTGTTTGTTTGTTTGTTTGTTTGTTTGTTTGTTTGTTTGTTTGTTTTGTTTTGTTTTTTTTTTTTTTTTCAATTTTCATGTTTTGTTTTAAAAGTTTGATGCTTTCAAATTATATTAAAACACTTTTTCTTCAAAATAAATCAAGACCATGTTGAAATCACATCTTATTTGTTTCATATCATATCTAATTGGTTTTAATTTTAATTTTTTTATATTGCTGTAATTACTTCAGATACTATCTAGTTACCATAAGATGGGGTGTTCTTTTCGAGTTTTTAAGTTTTTCATTTTTTATAATAATCAAAAAAATTATTGATAAAAATTTAAAATATTCCATTGATTATGCATATGTTTTTTTAAAAATACTCAAAATTATTATCACAGAAAAATGTATCAAGAAATCATCATTTTTTAAAATAGATGTATTGTAAATATTCTTCTTTTTCTTTTTTAAACCTAGTTTATTTATACCAAAAAAAAAAAAAAAAAATCAATTTATACTAATATGGGGTAGAGTTGTGAGGGATTAGTTATTGGTTTTAGATATTATGTAATCACCGCAATTAACATTTCCAACATACCATTGCTTCACATTGGCAACATAAAAGTGCAATAAATCATTTCCATATTAAATTCTCAAGACCAATGTATAAAAACAATTGCAAAACACTTATAAAGAAAACCCTTGTCTTGTAAGCACTAAATGACAATTTCAAACATTGTTGTACATTAAACTTCTAATAGTGTATATTAACAAACATTATTCTTGATGCATATCATAACAATTACTTTGTCCAAATTTCTTCCAATTTCAACACAATCAAGATAATACTACTAATCAGAATGTTCTTTCATAAAACTCGGGACCACTAGAATCACAACATTTGGGAACATCATCTTTAACAAATGTACTCTCAATTGGTTGGATAAATTATAAAGAGGGTTTGATTAAAAATAATTAAATGCAACTTGTTGCACCAATTCTAGACCACCTGAAATAGTTTAAATCTGATTTTTTATTCTCGTTAGAGAATATATATATATATATATATATATACATAGAATTCAAAAATTGAGAGTTGAAAAATATAATTATTAATTTAAAATAAATAAATAAATACCTGATTTTTTTGAAGTTGCTCAGATTTGAAATAATAACTAGTTTGTTCAAGACCAACATGTCATTAACACTATCAGTATTCTCTAACAAATAATTATGCGACAATTTTTTCTAAAATATCAATTAAAGGTAGTAAATATTTACTCAACTCTTAACCATCTCAACTTTTTTTTTTTCTTTTTTTTATAACTTTTAAGCCATTGATAACCTTGTAATTTTTGCATATTTATCATTTGAGCAATCAAAGTTTTGATATTCCTCTTTAGCCACATGATAACTCACTCATTATTTTTGCAGTTCTAACCACATGTTGTGAAGCAATTACAATACTAATGAGGGAAAAAAAAACAGAATTTTAACAAAAAAATGTTAAAAATTATTTGAATGCTTGTATAATAAATGAGTAAAGATACAATCTTCATTTATTTGCTAATTGGTTTGTTATGCATGCTACCTTTTATCTGAAGTGATCCTTTAAAAAAAAAGTAAGATTTCTATGCAAAGTTAGATGTGAAAAAAGAAAAGAAAAGAATGGCCTACTTACTCTCTTTATAATTCAATAAAACACAATCAACAATTTCAAGGTTGAGCTCATCAATAATCATTAAATAAAATTGATAGAATTTGAAGTGAAATTCATGTAATATATATATATATATATATATAAATATATACATAACTATTATATTTGGATGATTGAAACTAATTATAGGGAAGAGCAAAGCATCAACCTGGCTTGAAAGTTGATTCTGAAAGCATTCGAACAAACTCTATCGCAAAAAAGAAAAAGAAAAATCAAAATATTTAAACAATATTACTAATAATATTTTTCCAATGTCCTCAAGAAATCAAGTTTTATAATTTTTTTAATGAATGAATAATATTCTGAAACTTTGAATTTCAAATTCCAATAGTCTTTGTACAGAATGATAGGACAATCCCCCTCCACTAATGCTTCTTACTATGATAACTGTTGTATCAACACCACTGATCATAATGCTTTTCTTTCCTTTTTTATTCTAATTATTGTGTTTCATTATTATTTAATTTTTTTGTAGAATAATATTAAAATCTTTATTTCATCAGTGATTTGAAAGAGATAGGCTAAACAGTCTAGACAGCCTAACAAAATGAAGTTGCCCAATCCGTTTTACACATAATTTTATCATGTGTTTAGAGCTTTGGGTTGTCACCAATCGGGTGCTGTTTTTGTAATGAAGTCTAAATAATTGAATAAATATTTTAATTTACACTTTATTAAAAATACAGCTTATTAAAATTTGAAATGTTAAGTGATATCTCCAAGTAGTGATTTCTGTTGAAACATAATTTTTCCACCTAATTTAAATTAAATACTAAATCTTTTATTACACAGTTTAATGTCGTGATTATATTTTTAATACTTAAAATTAGATGTGAAATATAAAGAATCAGGTCTATGTGGAATAAGGTTGCTGACTATTTCGAAGTATTCTGATTAACTAACAAAACCATTTCATAAATATCATTAAATTTTGGGAATTTCATTTTTGGTAGAATTTTGTTCAACTAAAATGTATATCGTGATGTTGATTAATTAAAGTCGTGGTACATCACAATATACATTATTGCTTTAGATGTACAACTTGCGTGAAACATTAAACATCAACTTATATGAAAAAATGTATATTGTGATGTTGATTGATTAAAATCTCTCCCAACTGTATACAATCATCATTTGGTTGTAGCATATTACCATAAAATATATTTACAAAAAATAAAAATAAAACATTAATTAAATGTTAGTGATTGAACTAGTTTTGATGTGTTAAAACTTTAAGTATCATTAGTATAACAAAATAAAGTCTAAACTAAAATTTAATGCTTTGTTCAATAAAAAATATTTTTAGAATCTATAAACTTTTCATTATTCATTTGAATGGTATGTAAAAACGTATTTAACAAAAATGCACTATTTCTTCTCAAATGGTTATATTCTTATTTTTTGAAAAAATAAGACAAATATATAAACATGTGGTTGTAAAACATTTACAGACAAATATTACAGTAAAAAAAAAAAAAAAAAAAAAAATTGAAAAGTAAAAAAAAAAAAACTAAGGAAAAAAACTAACCACATAATTTAAACTTTATTTATTTTTACAATTGACCTATAATAGCTTCACGTATAATTTATTCTCCATATGTTACTTATAGAAAATGAATTTTATACAGTTTCACCTTATTTCAGGTTTGAATTGTTTCTTTACAGAAGGTATTCTCACAATATAGTATAACACAATCAAGTCAATTGTATTTTTATGCATTTTCTCAGTATAATCCACCTTAAAAGCTCCAAAAACATGGTAAAATCTACTTAAAAAAGTTTAATCAAATAATTTGACTATGCTACAAAGGACCATGTTTTTACCACACTCATTCTGCAACTAATAAAAATGCACCAAATCATTAAAAATATCCAAGACATACATAAATTTATATTGCTGTTATATATATATATATATATATGAAGTTTCATTCATTTAAAGTTAATCATCTAATCTCTTGTTAAGCTTACCAAATTTTTTATTCTTATTGCACAAACAATCCTTCTCTTTTCTACCTTATTTTAAAATTCCGATTTTTATTATTTTTCTTATATATATATATATATATATATATATTTCTTCCAAATAAGCAATATACAAATAAGAACATCTAAGGAATCAATATTGACCATCCATTTGGCAACAACACAAGTCTCCATCAATTCCAAGCCCAACAAATATTCAAACCCTTAAGAGGGTACAATAGAGTTGGTTGCTCATAAGTGGCATAATCCAAGTCGTGCCCCCCCCCCCCCAATCGTATGTGCATCCATTAAAAAGATCTTTCCTTTCTTAAAAAATGCCTCATGCTCCCGTGCCTTCTTCTCCTCCATCCCTCAAAGAATAGATGATTCTAGATTCAAATCCTTTTTTTTCCACCTAACAATACTAGTAAGCATACAAGCAAGAAAGCAAAGTTGCATTACAATGGGGTATGGGAAAGGTGCACGAGTATCACTTGAGCATGTAGTCACGTATGCAATACATGGCATTAAAGAGAGTGGCATTGACATAGCATGATTGACTCATGCACATTGCGCAATTGCTACTAAAAACACAAATTTATTTCTTTGCTTTTATGTATATAAATAAATGTAGTCCATAGAAAGTACATTTTTGATATTTATACATACTATTATTTTCAACCATAGTAAATATGTTTGTTTGTTTGTTTGTTTTTTTTTTCTCACTTTATTTATTACCATTTAAAAAAAATAAAATTGTGGTGACTTTTATTCACGACCATAAAATCCCAAATGGTAGTAGAAAGGATGCATTTTAAAACAATGAGGAATGCAAAAATGGAGATATATGATGTTATCAATTCCTACTCAAAACTTATAATTTGAAAAAAAGCCTTATGGCATTCTTGTGAAGGCTCTTTAAGATGGTCACATGGAGGCTATGAGCCTTTTTCTTGTGTATGGAATGCTATTTTTTGCATGACCAAATGCCAAGTGGCATGTGCACAAGCTTCCATAATATCCCACGTAAGAAAAATCATGCATTTTGGGTGTCACATTGGAATGGTACCATTGAAAGTAGAATGTCAAAATAGTGATTTCTTTTATTTTTGAAACAAAATAGAAAAAAAAATAAATAATAGAAAAAAAATAAAAATCAATCAATCGACCAATTATATATACACATACAAATATGTCAATTTCAATATTTTTCTTTGTACTTCAATTTTTCTCAATTTTTCAGTATATGTTATTTATGATTTTTTTGTGCTTAAGTTTTGCAATTTTTGGGTTGTATGTATGTATGTATGTATGTTATGTGCATAAAAGATTTTATAATTGTAGGTTAGAAAAACTTCTCTTATCTGAAATTTTAGAGTCTTTTGTAAATTCTAGATTGTTTCATTCCTTATCATATTGGATTGAACTTTCTCTTATATGTGATAGTGATACTAACTTGTGCAGAATTTCCAACAACAGTTGTTGAGAAAAAAAAATTATATATATATATATATATATATATATATGAATTAGTATAAATTTGATATAAAGTAAATATGAACCAAAATTTTAAATTAAAAACTTAATGGTGATGGATCTTTGTCAACACAGATTTTTTAATAAGTAAAATAATTAGCTTAAAAGATGAATAAAGCCATTCCTTTGTACTAATATAAGCTAATTTTTTCACTTTGATAAAACATTAAATACATGTGTAATTATTTTGAAATTTACTACACAAAATATTCTTTTTCTTTTTCTTTTCAAATATGACAAGCATGATCAACTAAACTCTATTACCTTGTATTATTATTAAAGTTTGAAAATATATATTGTGAAAGTTTTGTTATAAGAAAGTTTTTTTACAGAAAGAATCTCATATTTTAAGAAGACTTTACATGCTTAAAACTCAATAAACAACATTTGATTACTATTCCTAATGACATCATGCCATTGTTTTAGCAAAAAGAACTTTTATATATATATATATGTTTCTCCTAATATAGTTTAAGATAAATATATCAAATATTGCCATCCATATATCCCAAATATGTCAATACATATAGTGCTATTCAAATCTAAACATTGATTTGTTATTTTACAACATTCTGTAATAATTGTAATTTTAAAAGAAATGAAAAAAATATATTCTGGTAAATTTTGTGATATTATTGGTGAGCAAAAGATTATTAAGTATTTATTTATTAATTATTCAACACACAACCCAAAACCATAAGATGCATGAGGTTGGATTTAATGTTTGGTTTTAGTTGATATTTCATAGTTAAATTTCATAATTTTTTATGTTTTCATATATATATATATATATATATATATATACATGCATTTTTTTTAGTATTATTAATGTTATTAGGATTTTTTTTAGTTTTAGTGTGAAATTAATGAAATATGTCTATGTAGGTGACATAAACATATTTTATTAGTTACATTATTGGCATTGTCATTCATTATGATATTGTATATTATTATACATAATCATCCATTCACCCATTCATTGGATGAACAGATATCCCTCACCTTCGAAACGGGAACCACATTCAAAAAAACTCCAAAACCTGCGAAACAATATTCAAAAGCGGAGCTGACGCGCAAAAGCAAGGAAGGCCCCGGCGAAGCGTGCTGGGGCCCATCACCGATGAATGTACCGGCCCGCTATAGAGGCCGGGCCGGTCGATAGCAAGCAAGCCCGCTATAGGCGCCAAGACCGTGGGCTCTTTCGCAAAGCGCGGCGGCCGTAGCGTGCGCAGCGGACGGGGATTGGAGTCCGGGTCACAGTTAGTTGCCCCATCGAAGCAGCAGCATCAGGACAATTCCCAAGTGACAACTGCGACGATGATGATTTGCAACAAACAGGAAGGAGAATGAATGCCACGAACAGACACCCACACAGATCACTCACTGGGTTGGGCTTTGTAGCTGGCTTCGTCGAAGCGCGTTGCCCTCCCTGAGCAGCAGCAGCAGCGGTACCTGGTACATGATAATAATGCGTACATGATCTCGACCAGGATTAGTAATCCTGGAACGGATAGATAGATACACCCACCTTTACATTTTATCTTTTTTCACTTTGTTGCCGCCCCTTAACGGCACCCATCGTACCAGCACTGCTGCTACTGTTGCAGCAGCTCGCAGGATTGCACAACGCACCTGCCGGTACCGTCACGCGGCAGTAGGCATTGCATCGCAGCTGCAGGAGTGACATGGGTCTTCTTCATCTGCCGGTCCTCTCCCTTCAATCCACGCCTCGCATGTCGCGCTCGACGGCTTCCTCCTGAGATTTCGATCTGTAAGTGCGTATCCGACGACACATTTTCTGTCTCGCAGCCCTCAGTCCGATCTGGAATCGATCGGGTGGGTAGCGCCGTCTGCCGTTTGTCGTGTTAAGGCGTCAGGACCCTTTCGTTCAGAATGTTAGGATTTTTGTATCATTCGCACTGTACGCCAGAGACGTTGAAAACTTTTTTCGATTGCAACGGGTAGTGTAGCTTGTGTCGGAGAATACTGAAAGACTAGCGACGCGGGCATACTTCGATTTCATACACGATTATAAGGGGTAGGTATGCATTCGCTTGGATGAGCTGCAGTAAATCATTGTGTGGTTATTGGATGTTCCTCCAACTGGGCTCCTGAAAGGCACGTTCATGCCTCCAGCTGCGCGACCCCACAGCTGGCCAACTTGCTATCTACTGTGCTTATGTTGGCACCGCGTCTGAGGATCCAGATCAGGTGGAGTGTCCCGTATGAGCTTCGTTGCGGACAGCTTGCTGCTCCGATAGCGTCTTCGAGGTTTGCGGAAGTAAGGTTGGATAGCAGTGGCAGTGCTCTTCGTGGAACCACATGCAGAGCGGCGCCGCTGGTATACTTCCCAAGGAAGTGGAGCACCATAGTAGAAGAAGCGAAAGACTTAGCCAGGTTGCGTAAGGCGATCACATGTTACATTTCTGCCTTCGGCACGGTCTGTGCACTTATGCCACTCCTAACTGAAATGCACAAACGGACATTAAGGTTTTGAGCTATTCCGATCACTTTGCGCTACGCCGCACGGAAACGCTTCTCTCGAAGAACAACGTCAAGGGCTTTTTCAATCCTTCGTCGTCCCAGACATAACCTGTAGTCTTTTTCGTTTGTGTTCCTGAGAGAGTGCCAAGTGCCAAATTGTCTTGGTGGGTTGACCTGCTTCAAACCGACGCCTTGTATCCGAAGTCCTTGCATTTTAGCGTGGTTAGCAGCATGGGCGTGCGGCTGATGGGCCAAGACAGCCTCGATTCCGAAGCCAGCACGTCTAGCTCTCTGGTTAGTTCCCGTAGCTGCACCAACGGCCGCGGCCCCCACAAATGCATCGCAATTTTGCACGGTCAAGCTCTCCATGTCATCACCCTTGCCCTCTCTGGCGACGTCCTCTACGCAGGCTCCAACCACGGCGACATTAGAGCATGGGACCACCCCGACATGCAAGAGGCAACGAAATTTGGAAGTGGCCGAGCTGCGGTAAAATGTATCGTTGTGGTCGGCAATAGGGTCATCAGTGCGCACCAGGACCACAAAATCAGAGTATGGCGTAGGTCGAAGTGCCAACCCCAGGAGTACCGCCTGGTCTCGACCTTGCCTTCAATCAAGGACTACATTGCAAATTTCTTGCCCGCAAAAAATTATGTACAGGTGCGTTCAGGCAAGTGCCGTTGCGATGTTCTCTCCATTAGCCTCGTTGATGGTTAGCCCGAATTGCAATTATCATTTCGCTTTTCGATGTCCCATCGGCAGTGTCTGGTTTGAAGTCTACATCTGTTTTGTTCACAATAATGTCTCAAGGGTTCCTTGCAAAATTTAATTGTACTCGACCCGATCGGCTTCTGCAGGTGCGACGGCATCACAAGAGCCTGTGGATCAATCACAACGATAGCATTTCCTGTCTGGCAGTTGGCAACGGTGTTCTCTACTCGGGCTCCTGGGACAAATCCGTGAAGGTGTGGCGCCTCTCTGACTTCAAATGCCTGGAATCGCTCTGCGGGCACATCGACGCCGTGAATGCGCTCGCGGTGGACAAGCAGCACGACCTCCTATACACCGGCTCCGGCGACACCACCGTCAAGGTCTACCAACGACAAGACCTAGGCAATAAGAAGAGCCAACATGTCCTCGTCGCCACTCTGGAAGTGAAGTCCCCCGTGAACGCACTTGCCCTGAGTCCCGAAGGCGCGCTTCTCTACACAGCTCAAAGCGACAAAACTGTCACGATCTGGAAGATGAAAGAGATAGACGGAGACCGACAGTGGACTGCGGTGGGGACCTTGCGAGGTCACCGTCTAGCTATCCTGTGCTTAACCATAATGTCAAACCTCGTCATCACAGGCTCAGCGGACACGACTGTCAGGGTGTGGAGACGTGACGCCGAGGATGTTCATACATGTCTATCTGTGATGGTGGGTCACACGGGCCCCGTGAAGTCGCTCTGTGTGCTCTCAGACATGGCAATGGGGGCTCTAGTGTATAGCGGAAGCATGGATGGCGACATTCGTGTGTGGTGGTTACCGGAAGACGAGACGGACCTTCTCTCGTCGGACGATAGCTCCCCAGATAGCCCTGTGGTCATCAACTGGAGGTCGTCGTCAATCTCAACCGGTTCTCCACTATGTCGTTCAGTCTGAGGAATCCACGGCCATTACTCCCGATTTCTAGCACAATATGGGTGGCCATGAAGAGGCCCAGTCATCATCAGTTTCATGCATTGAATTTCACACCTGATCGCTGGGGGTTTTAATGTAAACTATTGTCAACTTTCGCGTCCAGATTAGAAGTCATTTCTGTTCAGTATTAAACGGTGTCTGGGGCAGCGTAATTGACAAGGGTGTGAAAGTTCATTGTTCTCCTCAATAGCACGAAGACCCTGTTTTGTTCCCTTCTGTTCTGCATCCAGGCGTAATGCAGATGACTCAACGTTGTCTGCTGGAAGAATTAGTCGTCGGTGAATATTTTAGGGCTTATCTCGAGCAGAGAGACTGGGAAGTTTTAGTGATGAACATTAGCCTGTACAAGTTTTGGACATCAGTCTTGTTCTGGTCGAGAATAGTGTACCTTAACAATTTATATCATGTAAAGATTTCTGGTGACTTCGATCACTTTCAACACATCCGAGGCCTCATGTGAGTTACTGCGTTTCCCTTCCTGTTCTGCAAGCTTATCAACCTTCCTCAGACGAGGTACCTGTTCGAATCGTAGTGTCAGAGAAAGGTTTGATTGTGACATAAAACTTATCAATCTCAGTTCAGGACTGAAGCATCTCGGCAAACACGCAGCAAATTCTTAAAACTTGAGAAACAATCGCACCTTGTCACAAGGGCACTCACTTAGCTCTACATAGATTCAACTCCCAAAATTGGGTAACAGACAAGCAGCTTCCAAAGGTTTAGAAAAACCCCTCCGGAGACCGCAGTAGGTGAACAAGACAATGTCCTGCAAGAGATATTTGACTCCGAACAATTAGCATTGCTCAGTGGAAGCTGAGGTGGAGTTCTTATCCACAATTTATCACCACATTACAAAGGGATTAAGTACTGCAGTGAAGACCTGTGCAGATCTTAGTACAACTTTATTCTACCTCCATCTGAGAGACAGGCTTCTCGATGTGACAATTAATTCTACCTGTGAAATACCTTCTCCAACAGGATCTGGAGCATATTATGCAGAAGTCAGTCACAAAGACCAAAACATGGAGTCTGAAGTTAGCAATAAGAAAGAGGTGGGGAATTATATTTCTTTCGTAAGCATCTAATGGGCTCCAAAACCTGAGAAAGTTGATCGAGCTGACAACCCAGTTGAACTCTTGCCAACTCCTGGTGGAACTACATACAAATTGACTATCTGCATTTTACTTTAGATCTTTGCAATGGACGACTCGGGAATGTTTCAACAACACCAGCATTTAAAGTCTTCAAAACCGTTTTCTCTGTGGCTGAGATGAAGGAAACAGAATGGTTATTAGATTTTTAAGGATTATCCTCGAAAGTTGCTAATTAAACGCATGTGAAGGGTCCCAGTGGTAGAGCTCTAAAGCATTGGTGGAGGTTTATTTTGCATTACAAAATTGAGATTCATATCCTTATCAACTTTTTAGTAATGTATTGTAGATAGAACTGCTAATAAGTCTCCAAATTTATTCCTCCAATTTCATGTAAAGTGCAACAGCTACACTACGAAAAGATTTTTTTTTTTTTTTTTTTTTTTTTTTTTACTTAATGGATATTTAATTTTAAAAAATTAGAGCCACCTCTGCTGCCACCTCTAACACCACTTATATGAAGAACAATTGTAGTTTGTTACGGGTAATTAATAAAGAGTTATTAGAAGTAATTTTATTCTATTAAAGCTGAGTGTTAAATTAGATGCAAGATATTATAAATTAAATTGCATGAATATTTTAATTGATTTTATAAGAAGGAAAGAGATGTACATAATGTCCTTCCATCTAACCATGATTATATCTATGACAAGATCTCCACAATCACTCTTTGTTAATACTGAGAAATTTCAAGTTTCTTGTGACATATGAACAAAATACACATTGGATAGTGATGCTTGTTGCTACAAAATATAGCCATACATCTAAGATAATTCTTCTATGGTACAATTGTTTTAATTGTTTTGATAATTTCTAGTTTATTTTGTAAATTCATTGCAATTGAAGCTGCGGTTTAGGTAATGACCAAACACGAGCAATGCCCGTTGTGATGACTGCTCATGGAACAATCCGTAAGCTACGAGAATTTCAGATTACAACAGAAAACAGCATGATATATTTCCCTTCAAAATGTTAATAATCAATTTTACGAGCGAATGTTTCATTTTAGGGCATTACCGCTCATTCTAATGAGCTGCTGAATCGTAGAAAATAATCACGAAACTTTGTGTGTTGCCCATCCTTGAAATCCTCACCCTTCCAAAATATTCTCACATGGAAACATGACATAATCGATGAACCGATACTCGAGGCAATCAATACTCACAAATCAACAATACGCAAGAGAATTGAAATCTCAGAGGGCCTTCTATAGATCAATCAATAGAAAAGACTAAGTTCTCATAGCAGACATACTGTTGCTCATGAAGTGCTCAGTGAAACTAATCTCAAATAACTTAGGATTGGGTCTTAGCAGCCAATTTCTCCTTTGACTTCTGGATCTTCAAAACCTTCTTCACGATCTTCTGTTCCTCAACTAGAAAAGCTCGGATAATGCTGCATCGGACAAAATTGATCACGATTTATTAGAAATACAGATGATGATTCCAAGTCACACAGCTAGGGCAAACATGCACAACTATAACAATACATGTAACCACAGAGCATGATTGCACTACGGGCTTGATAGCTCAGACTGACTGTAAAGAAAACTGTCTAGAATTGATATGTTCGCTGAGAAAACCAACTGCGTCGTAAACAAACCCTTCAAATTTGGTCCATGCTTGGTTTGGAACAGTTAATAAAGCACTACATGAAACCTATGCCTCAGACGGAACATGGATAGAACATATTACTCATGTGTGATGGGAGCTTTAACCATATTTCGGAAGAGAAAGAACCTCATAATAAACTGTGTCCACCTTCGATAATACACGGGAATATATCCAAATGTAATACTGATGTAATGACATATGAATATGAGGGTAATGCACATACCGTTCCCGAACTGCGGAACCAGCCAAGTTGCCGCCATAGGCCCGGTTGACTGTCTTCTTGTGCCTGTGAAGACGAGAGGTTTTGTACTCCGTGGGTCTCAGATGAGGAATCTGCAATGACCATCACCCGTGAGCACCCTGTTCATGTAAGTTTATGATGTATTTAGATCAATACCTACAAGGTTATAGCTGTTCCTACATCGTGGACTTCAGACGAATCTTGCTGCGACAAACTGACGCATCCCTTGACTCACTTACAACTCAAACAGAACATTGTAAAGTTTCCCTTCTATCAATACTGTACAGGACCTTTCTACGCCGATCACACAAACCTCGACATAGAGCTAAAAACATTGCATGAATTACATTGTTCTCACGAAACGATAAGTACATTTAGGATAATCCTAGGATAAAATTAATGATTCGTTATTTTCACAAAATTGCATACTAATAAAGAAGATCCTTGATGACTGAATGTAATTACACACCATTAAAAAAACTAAACAGGCGTAGACAGCACCGCGTTAGGTAAGGTTTTAGTAAATCCGCCTAAAACCTAATTCTTCTCAAACCCTAAAACTCAGAACTATCCACAAATCTAAGTCGCTCACCATACATGATTATGCAGACTTAACCCGCCAGGTAATGAAAACTCACCCCAGCAATACGTTTTCCAGACACTGGACACTTCGGCCCAGCTGCCCTCTTTGTGGCGGTCTGGAAGACATTCCTACCACCTGCATGCCACACAACGACGGGGCTTGAGCACTCTGATTGCAGTCCAACTTAAGCCTCTCCGAAACCTTCAAGTTCAGAGCAACAAGAATTGTTCCCTCGACCTACATATCGCACAATGCTGGCCCCAAACCCCAAAACACGATGCCGAAATATCTAAGCCGAAATCCGTAGCCTAGAAAATTCGCGACAAAGAGAGAGGGAAGGCAGTGTACCTGGGGTCTTGACCACGCGGGTCTGGTTCGACTTGGTGGCATAGCAGTGGCGGCGACGGTACGTTAATCGCTGAACCATGGTGACAGACCAGGAGATAGCCTGCTATGTTCCGGTACTGCGATCTCGCAACACAGAAGAGCACGAAGAGAGTCAGCGGCGCCCTCTCCCCTCCCCTATGGCCCTCTCCTTAAACCCTAATTTCATCCATCCGTGGTGCATGACCCGTTCCCACTGTTGATGTCACAGACATACTCGAAGAAACAGAAAAAGGTACAGGTCAGCGGGGTTTTGGATAATTGTTGTGGATTTTCTGAATGAGGCTTTTTACGCGAGGTTTTTGTTCTAAAACCCTCAGGAGCGCCAGCAAGTGTAGAGTGGCTTGCAGCACGAGGTTGTTCCTTTGGAGACAGTGGGACGTTGTGGATGAGCTTGGTTGGGAGTCTGTGAAACAACCCACCTTCTAGAATCATAAGCCTTTCATGGTTTGAGTGACTGGAGCGTCGGAATTGGCAATTAAAATTGTGTAGCTTCTTCTTCAATGGCCTGATGCTTAAGCAGAGCAGCCTTGAATTGAGCAGCAATGATAGGATTATCCTTGTGCAGTGGGAGAATGCGTCAAAGAGAGCGGAAGATGGTGATTGAGTCTATCGAGGAGAAACCTTGCTTCAGTGTTTGAAAGATTTTGAGCATTACGTTTTGTGCATTTGACGCGAGTCGATCGTGTCAAAAAGGATTCAACATCTTTCGTTGTTTCAGTACGGTGAGGAAAACGAAGAAGTTTCAACGTAGAAGGTGTTATTTCTAAACTCTGAAGCAATTTTTCAAGTCCGTGAGACGCTATACTTCAATTGCAATTTGTGGAGACTGCAGTTAGTAGAGTGGTGTGCAGAAGAGTGAAGATGATCTTTAAAAGAATAGGTTTCACTGCGCGCTAAGCTGTCAATTACGACATGGTTTTTGGACAACATGGTGAGTGGATGTGGTTTTAAATGCAACCTAGACATGAGGAACGATATTGGTGAATGGTCTTCCCAGGGAAATTTCGTCTTAAGAGTCGATTAATTACCTGGAGTCTATCCTGTAATGACCTCATTAATTTCCAGTTAATAGACAATCACAGCATTGAGTGGACCTGCTACAATGTTCTTACAGGATTGTTTCTTTGGTTTTCAGATGTTGGTTGGGTGGCCTGAAAGATACTTTTAAGGTTTCCAGTGCATCCAGAGCAATGGCCTTAAGTACTGGAATCCAATGCGTGCCTGCGTTCAAGTCAAATTTGGTCTCTGTAGAGGCTGTGACTTGGGCTTCACAAGCTTCCTTGTCTGGTGTAAAGTTTCGTGGTTATGAAAGATCTGGACTGGGGCTGCGTCAAAGTTTAGGATATTTGAGGGACAGGCATGTCGTTGGCGGCCGAGTGATCAGGAGCATTGGGAGAAGAGCAAGCAGGACATGCAAGCGAATAGGATGTGTGCGCATGGCAGGAGCAGAGGAGGATGTTGCACAACCAACGAAGAAGGGTAATACACAGAGCAAGAATAATGTAGCCGAGGAGGGTGATACAAATCGTGGTGGTGTCAATCCTGTGGGATTCCTTAAAGAAAAAGGATTGAAGACCAAAGCATTTCAAACATTTACCCGTGAAAGGTTTTTCCTTCTTCTCGCCCTTCTCAGCAATAACCATTTTGTTCAAAGTGAAGGGCTTAAGAGGTTTTTGTCTTATTTGGACTGAGTTCGAGGCACAGAATTGTCTCGTTCTTATACTTTGGTAACTCCAATTGGTTTTGGGTTTCCCTTCTGAGGTCCAGATTCTCTTTCAGAATCTGTGAAAATGAGTGGCTTGCCATAGTTCTTTGATTGTGACTTCCTCTTCTGATGCAGGTATAAAGCACTGAAGGATCTGAAGCAACTGATTGCAGAGCGTGATGAGGATCTTGTTGAGTTTGCTAATGCGTAAGTAATCAATATGCTTCTACCTAACCTTTAGAAAAGGTTTTTCCTTTTTTCCGTTTTGCTATTTTATTTCCTGTAGAGAAGCATCCCATTCTGCGTGTTTCAACTTCACATGTCATCCTTATAATATGTGATTCTGAGATTGACAGCCCCTTTGGGCACGTGAGAACTTGTTAAAAGTATTGGTTTCAGGATGTTGAAGTTTTTCATTGGAAGTTTATCCAAGTTGTCATGACATTGTGAGGAACTTGGCACACATATAGACTCCTTGGTTTATGGCCTGAGCTTAAGTACCTTATTTGCAGGTACGAGGACATGGGAATGCATCGAAATCCAGGACACCACGTCGAATTCTATGAGTGGGCACCAGGTACACTGTATTGCTAAAAAATTCTTTTTTTAAGATAGACATAACCATCACGTAGACTAGAATAGCTATCATCGCATCTTGCAGAAATTGCTTATTTCATTCATTTGCGTGTATCTTAGAAGCAAGTGAATGGCGAATCTGGATTCTTTTTCGCAGGTTTCGTATTAGATGATAAGTTATGGAACCATTGTAATGAGCTTAGTTACTGATATTTGAAACATTGATAAATCTCTGGTTTCTGTATCAGCACAATCATCCACTTCGCTGATTGACTGAGATGGTCTGTACAGGTGCACGATTTTGCTCTGTTGTAGGAGACTTTAACAATCGGGAGCATAGGAAGCATTTTGCTCGTGAGGGTTATTTCGGCAGGGATGACTTCGGGTACTACCACGTACGCATAGATGACGTTCTCCGCGAGGGAGAAGAGGAAGACAACGCCACTCAAGAATATAATTACGATGCTGACTACGACAAGGGTGATGAAGACATTGACGAGGATGCACTGTTCGAGAGGATTGACCAAGAATATTGGGATCCTGGAGAAGATGAGTTCATGTCTGGGCACAAGGATGATTTAGCACAGGAACTGTTTACAACTATTTTTGGGAAGGATTTGGATCCAATGGAAATGGTTAAAGATATTTCAGCTAAATATAAGAGCAAGAAGAAAAAGAAAATGTACTACGATGATGATGATAGTGGTGATGACGACGACGACGACGAGTATGAAAGAGAACCTCAAACTCTTGAAGAATTCAAAGCTGCAGTGGAGAGCCATATGGAGGAATGGTTGGCAAGTAATGCGGAGGCACAGAAAGGCAAGGACTTACCCTCAATTTTAGTCGAAGACGATGGCATAAATCGCGATGAGATGGAGCTTGTTGATGACCCTGTTTGGGCGAAAAGAGTGGAGGAAAAGGAGTGGCCCGAGAATTACTGGGAAAATTTTGTTAAAGGTCGAAAAGCTTGGGAGAAGAAGTATATTCCAGGCATTTCTCATGGTGACCGTTATCGCGCTTATTTACATACTCCAGAGGGACCATTGGAGCGAGTGCCTGCATGGGCTTCATATGTTCTTCCTGGTAAGCATGGATACATTGAAACGATTAGCTATCCGGGTGTTTCAAAGTTTTAGTTCAACCAGTAGAATTACATAAGATCATGTACTTATTACTGGACCAGCTCAGAATAAGGGCTCAGTTTAAGTATAGTAGAATACCAAAACACACAAGTCTAATCTATCCGTTCCAAAAACACTTAGTTGTATAGGTGATTAACTTTAATTATGAACATAACAGAGCCTTGGTTATACTTTTTCTGGACTTATTGGCTAGAATAAATGATGTCCCAGTTGATGATTTTTCATTTCGATCACAGATCCAGACGGCAATGAAGTAAGTGCAATATTTTGGGATCTTCCCAAAGACCAGCAATACAACTGGAAATTTGATCGACCCTCCAAACCGCAAACTTTACGAATTTATGAATGCCATGTTGGCATTAGTGGCGAAAGTCCTAAAATTGCATCTTTCAACGATTTCACTGACACGGTAATAATATCATTGTGCTTCTCCTGAACTGTCTTTAGTTAATCATTTCGAAGCTAATGATGTTTTACCAGTATTGACATGAATTTGTAGCAATAAATGTCTGACACGTGTGTGTGTGTGTGTGTTTGTTAATTCTGAAGGTTCTTCCTCGAGTGGCAAAAGCAGGATACAACGTCATACAGCTTTTTGGCATACAAGAACATGCTGATTATTCTAGTGTTGGCTACAAGGTGTTCACGAATTTATATACACCCCAGTCTTAATATCTTCTTGTACTATTGTGAATTATTACATGAAATATTTGTTTTAAGTATATGCTAAGGATCACAGTAGAAAGAGCTCTAACATCTGTTTTGGCACGCATCAATGCTAGAACCGTGATATATCATCCTTATACCAAAGTTACCAGGCCACATCCCTGTCCCAAGTTGAAGCCAAGCTATCATGCTGCAAACTCTCAGTTGTGACTTCCTTAGCATGTGGCCGAATTTTCATGACTAACTTGCACTTATTTGGCCACTCTTGGATAACGGCATGTAGGTAACCAATTTTTTTGCGATTAGTAGCCGTTTTGGCACGCCTGAAGATTTTAAGAGACTTGTTGACACTGCTCACGGTAAGTTTACTGCCTTCTGTATCTCTAAATTCATATTTTAAAAAGTAATATTGGCGTAATTCCTTATGCGATTGAACTAGGTGTTACCCTCTAGTATGTAATTCAACGCTGCAGAGTGCCACGGGCCAGTTTTCATCGCCACACCTATTGTTCCGTTGGTTTGGGCACCACTCTTATTTTCATCTTAAATCGTATCGTTTCTTACCACAAGAATATCATGTTATAGCGTAGCTTTTATCATGTATGCGCAGGTCTCGGTTTGATGGTGGTAATGGACATAGTTCACTCTCATGCTGCTCCGAACGAGGGTAACGGATTAGCTTCTTTTGATGGAGCGAATGATTGCTACTTCTATCCAGGTATCTTTAAGAACTGTATACTTGTACATTCAAATTTCTAACATTATTGTAGGTTTGAGCAACCTATTTGTAGCCACGATCATGAACAGCAACTCAGGACATGGAATGTCTTTAAGAAAGGTTCATGAACCCTGGATTGATTATGCGATCTGCATATCAAACTACAGGGAGATTCAGTAACCTTGCTTATTGTGTCACAGGTCATTGTGTGCAAGTCGGGTCAAATGGGTGCTTTTCTATTTATAACCGTTTGGGAAACAGCAGATTTCGTTGGCTTTAGGAGAAGCTAGTATAAGAGGATTTTTGAAGAAGATGTTTGCATTTGATTTGAATAGTTTGAGGCGTAGATCTAGCTTTCTCAAAATACATCTTTAATGAAGACGACTTTGAGTGGAATTTGATTATATTTATCCAGCAGCAATATTTTTTGTATCCTAGTGTTTCTATGACGTACTTCACTTGGCGAATAATGCTCATTATAAATTTGTTCGAGATGCTAACAGGGAGGAGAGGACATCACAAACGTTGGGGTACGCGAATGTTCAAGTATGGGGAGTATGAAGTGCTCCGATTTCTTTTGTCTAACTCAAAGTGGTATGCTCTCCGAACTACACCGTTCTTCTCAATTGCAAGTTCTGGATAACGTGCGTTATGTCTTTATTGTTCAATAACTTCTAATGGTTAAATCGACATGGTGTTCATGGCATACACAGGTGGTTTATGGAGTACAAAGTCGATGGATTTTACTTCCACTCTGTCACTTCCATGCTCTACACCCACAATGGATTCACTCCCTTTACCAGTGGTCTCGACGAGTAAGTTTAAATAATTTTATTTCTACCCAGGAGATCTAGAATGGGTCTTCTGCCTTTCCTGCAGCTTGATAAGCTTTCTTAAGTGTCTGACAAGTCTTGGGAGATTTTGTAGAAAGTATATGTACAGCTATGCTGACATGATGAATGACATTATCATTTCTAGGTCCTTGTGATTTGGACTTCAACCAGTAGTATCTTCATCTTGTAACGTTACGTTTGACTTTGTGCATTGGCCCGCAGTTACTGTAATCAATATGTTGACAAAGATGCACTCATTTATTTGTCCCTGGCCAACGAGATGTTGCACCAACTTTCACCCAACATGATAACTATTGCTGAAGATGTAAGATCCATACTCCATTAGTTTCTGTTATCTGTGATGAATCCACTTACAGTTTTCAAAATTTGATTCGACTTTCAAAAGAGCTTGGGAGTGGACTAAGTATTTTGAAGATGTCTTTATTGATGATTGTGTCGCTCAGTACTTAGGCTTTGCATTCAATACATTCATAGGAATTATATTTACTTTCGAAGAACGTAACCAGTAAAAAGGGCCTTTCTCACAGAACCCTGTAAACGCCATCAACATCCATTAGAATCTTAGTTCCCGAACCTCTCAGATTCTTAAATATTATGTTCAGATTGAAGGAACTGATATGTTTTTTCTGGTATTGCGTTGAAGGCTACATTTTATCCTGGTTTGGTTGACTCCATCAACAAAGGAGGATTGGGCTTTGACTACTATGTGAATTCTGCTCCCTCTGAGATGTGGCCCTTTCTTATTGAAAATGTTCCAATACAGGAATGGAGCGTAACTGAGGCAAGTTCTCTTGTTCCCATTGTTCATTATTTAACCGATGAAATGAAATCGTACATCTAAATTCAGTAATACTTTGGGAGACATTAAGTAGTGATGTGCGTGATACTCCCTACAGTCTTAAGCTCTTACAGTAGTGGACTGCTATGGCAACATCTGTGATGTTATTTTATGCTTATAGCTTGTGCAATACTATGAAATGGTTCATTTAACATTTGAATCTGGTTTCATGCGACTCCAGATCACAGGAACTTTGATAACCACCGAAAATACGACGAAAGCGCTGGTATATTCTGAGAATCACAATCAGGTGAGAATCTAATGTTAGGAGTTTCGTGTTTTCTCTTTCACTTTGTTTTGTTGCATAAATGTTTTCGTTGGCTTTGAAGTGGTTCTGTTTGGAGCTTTGAATAAAACTTGTTGAGTGTGAACTGATCAGAGTTACTTAATGCTTGTTTGATTGATTAGTCTATTGTCGGAGGACAATCACTTGCCGAGGCACTTTTGGGCACATCTAAGGAAAGCAGCAAAAACATTTCCAAGCTGGAAGGCATCTCTTTACATAAAGTAGGGAATCTGGACCTTTCTCTGCGTATGTGTTTCTATATTGCAGCCCTTTCCCGTTTGCTAGTTATTCTGTCTCGAAATTCCTTGGGTTTAGACTCTAAAGGTCGAAACATATGATGTATGCAGAGTGGTCTCTTTCTTTACCTTAGCCATATGTTGTTTGTAGAGGCGAATTTCTTGGATTTGATATTAAGTTTTCCTGTTCCTCAAGTATCAACATATTTGTCTCTTTGATCAGATTATACGGTTAATCACGTTGAGTTTAGCTGGAAGCGCATATTTAAACTTCATGGGTAACGAATTTGGGCATCCGAAGGTACCCTGCATGTCTCATGTCCTGAATTATTATTACTAATGTTATTATCATTTTCTTTAATGTATTTTTTCTTGTTATTATCAATGGTGATGGTGGTGCTGGTGCTGGTGCTGGTAGCTGTAGTACTGGTGATTCTATGCTCTTATCCACCTTTTCGATTTAATAAATACAATAGCCGCACGTGTGGTATGGAAACAACCACTTACCAGCTGAATTGGTGATGCTAGTGGGTAGAGTTTCCAAGAGCTAAAAACAACAACTCTTTTGCCCATGCGTATCGACGCTGGGACCTTCTAGAGGAACAAGGTCCTCATTCACAACTTGCAGCTTTTGACCAAGTAAGTAAAGTTCTCGTTATTTGATACAATTCGAGACACTGATAGATGAGATATAATGCTCACGCCTTAAAACAATTAACTGCATATATTAGGAGTATTGGGTTCGGTGTAGACACATGATATTTATTTAGAGTTAAGTGTTTTTTTTTCAGGCATCATTGCAAGCATGATCTATACCGCATTGAGCATCTCTAATTAAAAATTATTGTGCTTATGCTGCCAGAAAAATTTACAAAAAGACCTGTAATGACGGTTTCTCCTATTTCCTTGTAAGTTTATGTATCCATTCAAATTACGCTGATGATTAGATTGTGATCTTACTGCTGCAGGCACTTATGGAAGTGGATGAGACACACAATATACTTGGTCAAGGACTACCAAATATGTGCCACGTAAATGACACTACGAAGGTACCATTTTTTTCCTTATGTTCTCGTGGTACAGCACAGGATTTTCGGAACGAATTCTTATCACTGCAAGCGATCGTTAAATTATTATCAGATCGAATCTGAGTTTCTTTTGTACATGTGCAAAAACTTGCGTAGAGGTGAGCATACTGAATGTATAGCGAGTATACTTCCTAAAAATCAGTCCAGCGCTGCCCATGTTTATAATGTGTGTTTGATGTGTTCCAATCATTGGACAGGTCATTGTGTATACAAGAGGCAATCTTCTATTCGCATTCAACTTTCATGTAACGGACACATATGAGATGTACAAAGTAGGCGTACAAGTAGCTGGAGAATATGAGGTAGTACAATGCTCGCCCCTAAGAACCATATGTTCTTACGATCACTCGTTCCTTTGGAGGCTACCATTAGAGTGAACATAATGCTGGAAAGTGCTTGTGAGGTTAGGTTTGTATATTGCATACGTGCATCTGAATTACTGGAGGTGGACTCTCGAGACTTCTGTGACTAGTGATGATAGTAACCATACTCTTACTTTTTCCCCTTACCATCTCTCTGTTGCTTACCAGAGGATAAGCTGTCTTGATGCGGTTGTCATTTTATATGTAGTCATGAGATGTTATATCTGGAGATGGAAATGTGAGTTTATTTAATCTGTGGATTGTGAATTTCGCAGCTTGTATTAAACTCCGATCAACCCAATTTTGGCGGCCTTGGACAGCTTCAAGAAGCTGACAAACTTCTAAATACTACTCGAAGACAGTAAGAAATTTTCTTGCATACTGATTGCTTTTGTGATAATTGGTATACTTCTTTTAGCATGTTTGGACATAATGAGTTTGGGTAAACTTTGATTAAAGCGCCATCTAAACAGTAGTAAGTCTGTTGCTTATCCTAAACACGTGCAAAATTGTCTCTGTTCAGATGCTATGCAACTTGTTCTTGTTATTCTGCTATTCAGCCAGTCTTCTTACATTTCTCGGAAATTTCTTAACACGGTGCAGGTCAGATGGACTTCCGAACACATTGTTATTGGTCCTACCTCAACTCAGTGCACAAGTAAGTCCATTCCATTTTTATGTAATAACTGGTAACCAAAAATGTTTGCTTATACTATTTATTTGTAATATCTTGTTAAGCATGGTAGCAAATAATATACGATATATGTTGATGAATTTTAACAGAATCCATTACCCCGGGTTGTATCTATTCATAATAAAATTACATCTGCTGCCAAGAACTTCCAGCTTTGCGAAGTTTCACCTAAATATGCGAATCACAATAACCCTCATTGTCTTTTGCAGGTGTACAAGTTGGCGAGAGTATTTGAAACTAGTAGTTAATAGCCACTGGCTAATACTTGTTATCTACACGTCATATTGCACTGATGCAAAACATTTGAGTGTATATGATGCGTAAAGAAATGTTTTGCGTAACAATTGTACTACATCTTGTGACTTTTATCTGCATCTTCCATGTCACTTCTCATCATCCTTTTCTATGGGGATTGTTATCACAAGTTTAACAAAAGAATATAATATGCAGGCTTACACGAGAATTGCATGTCCATCATTCATTAATCCTTCCTCTAAGTACAGGAGCCAAGACTCTGACCTATTATCCAACTACAGTTTAGTCGCAACGTCAGAAATTCATTCCTCCTTAAGTGGCATCATCCGTTTGTTACATCACATCAATGAGGTGCAATGTCAAGCCTCATAGGATAGGTGTACATCACAAAAACCAGTGTTGTTATTCACATGTGAAAGGACTCCTGTCAAGGTCAAATTGTTGACCCTCAACAAGGTGTGTAAATGGACATATCCCTCCCCCTGGATTGGAAATAATGGGTGACGGATGATTTGATTCTCACGGCCGCTACAAATAGCCTAACGTTAATGAATCTTCTGCTGAGCGGGGAATGCCACTCCAAGACTTTTCAATTTCTCATTTGATATCACATGTGCAATTCCGTTCTTCGAAAATCTGCACAAGTTTGCAGCATAAATTTTCATTAGCAAGCGCTGTTCCAACGCTGCAGCGACATATCTTCTAAGGTGCAGTGTGCCCAAATTGGTTGGCTTAAAAAACATTCCTTATATGACGGTGAAATTAAGCATCATAGAGAGGGTTTTTGGAAAGCATTAACAGGTCTTTAGTACGGTACACTCGTATATAAACTGGATGGATATTGATGTCAGATTATGTTGCAATTTCATGCTCTATCATGTTGTTTAAGCCTCTGCCGCATAGATCACAGGAGCGATTTTGAAATGACCGCGTACCTGGAGGGAATGGAGCTGCCTGGGTAGAGTTTACGAATTAGGTCCACAAGCTTCTCCTCACTGACAACGTCCTCAAAACAGATATAGCGACCGGATGCATCTGTTGCTTCCAACGCAGAGACGTGAGCCTTGGCAACATCCTCGACGTGTACGTATGCGAATAGACCACTTTGAGGAAGCTCCTTCACACCTGCAGAGAAAAAACTTAATTAAACCCTACCAAAACCGCTCACTACACTGACAGGCAGTTAAATGTACTTCAAATTTAGGGCTGTAGCATAAGAGGAGTCTCCCAGTATGAATCAAGAAAATTCTCAAGCAAAGGACACGAAAAGAACGCACTGGACTTCCTATGCTTCTCAAAATACCTTTGAGATAAGTGAAGATGCATTGGGTTGTGCCGAACATTTTGAGGCCCAGAACGATAGCTGGATTGATGACAACCATATCCAACCCTCTGTCTCTCGCTAGTGACCACGCTGCTTTCTCGGACATAGTCTTGGCTAGTGGACCCCAGAGCTGCAGAGAAACTCATACTGTTGTTAGTTCCGCATAAAAGAACTAAAACGTATTAAATCATGAGCTTCGAGCGAAATTTGGTTCAGGACGTGCTAGAACTGCAGCCCAAAATTCTAATGAAATAAGGCAGACAGCAAAACATGCTGCACCTTCATGGAGCGGCAGAAGTCTACGTTGCTCCAGCATTTCTCATCGATGACCTTCTCGGGGTGCCGTTGTTGATCCCAAACCATGGCAGAAAGTGAGGAAGTTAGTACTAATCTCTTCACGGAGGAATTTGCACATGCCTCCACAATGTTCAACGTCCCACGTACTTCGAAGTCTACCATCTCGGGCTGCAGAAATTACAGAATTGTCAGAACAAAAAGGTATCGGCACACACGAGTAAAGACAAATCACCTGTCTTCACCCATCTTTGTAATCCTAGTGTATGATATCCAATGGAATAATCACTACTGAATTGTTAGTCATAGCCAAAGTTCCAACTAAAGATTGTTCTAGTAAATTGACAACTGGAGGAGAAAAACCGAGACCTGGAATCGAAAGTCATAACTTAAAATCCCGAGGGAAAAAAATAAAAATAAAACGGAGATATGGTAGGGTTAACTGGTGTAATTGAAGAGGCAGAGAATAATCACAACTCACTGGGTAAGTTGAGACAAGGTCGCTGGGTGATGAGGTGTGGAACACACCGTCACAACCTGTGAATACTTCCATAAGGCTTCCATAGTCCATTATGTCAGCTTGAGCCAGGTCCAAGCGTTGCTTGGCTCCAGGCAAGGCCATCAAAGCAGCAGCCTCATCTGCGCACCACAATCGATTAATCTATGAATACACAATTCACTCTAACTGTTCAACCAACACCAGCGAATAGACTTTGCAGATTCCAATTGAATCTTCCACTATCACGTCTAGAATCAACACGTTCTCCAGTCATTTATCTCTATCATTCAATCCCTTCTGTAACTGATTTCATCTCTTTGCAACAAAATTGCCCGAAAGATCTACACTTTGCGAACAGCGGAAGGTGCTAATCTCTAAATTCTAGTGCTTTTTGGTGACGTCGAAGCTTGTGTGATCTGATTACAGGCTGATTCAAGCTCGCAGCCGCCTACATGACTGTGGGTAATATAACATGTATTCATAGCTACTGGTTTTTTCTGACAAAGTTTTTCCCAATGCTGTGAGGTGGTCTGAGGTGGGCAAAATTGATTACCAACGGTGGTGCGGATAGTGAAGCGCACATTGTAGCCATTGTCCAAAAGCACGCGTACTAGCCAAGTACCCAGGAGACTCCAACTGCCTGTTACACAGGCAAACTTCCTCCTCCCTGTCCGTGGCACCTCTTGCACGCATTCCTCCCCCTCGAAAGCATACCATACTCCCATTCTCCTTCTTATCTGCGAATTTCTGACAGGAAAATGAAAACAAACGCTTGGACCCGAGTTGACCACTCATACTTCGAACCTCAGAGCTCAACTTAACCTCCCTTCCCCGTTGTTACAACAACTACAACATCCTGCAGGGTCCTTAGGTAGCCCCACAAATGCCTTCTCACCAAAGTACACAAAAAAAAAAAAAACAAAAAAAAAACAAAAACAAAACAAAAAACAAAACATAACAATACAAAACAAACACACACACACATACACTTCAACGACCACCACATCCAATCCACAACCACGAATCGTCAGGCAAAACAGAAAAAAGACTAAACAAAAGTCACCACTCCATGCACCAGCCAAAGCTTCAAATTCACCCTCCAGATCCCACCCAGACGACCTAAACAAACGAAAACAAAATTCATCTTTCTCATTCAAATAACCTAAACTTGCCACCAGTGAACTAACTACCTGGGGTGAAACTCAATCAAGCAGGAGTAGTAGGCGTGCAACAAGCCCCCAGCTCCAAGTTCAAGGTCACAGCAGCGGCCCACACACCGACACCAACACGCCCCCTCGTGCTGGACTGCAACACTCGACTGCAGCGGCGCTAACCGAAGAATGCGGGAGAATGATCAGGAAGATAGAGCTAATATAGCTGATGGTTGTGATGGAGCTAGAGGGTTTGACAAAAGGGGACACAAACTTCCAGAGAGTGTCAGAGACGGTGAGTGCGACAAAGTGGGCCTGTGAGGTCAGCAGAGGACTGCTGCAATCAGAGCTTAGGGAATGCCGACAACTGGTTTGCAGCAACAGAAGCAATAAGCAGCAGGATGCAAAAGCATCATCTGCATCTCTGTGGGTGAGGCTTATGTGCCCTTCTTTCCCTTCCCCTTCCCCTCCTGTCTGTCTCTCTCAGTCTGCCTGCCAGTTAGTCAGTCAGTCAGTCCTCAAGCGCGTTGCCATTGAAATCTGCTGCAATCGCAGTCAGCAGAAGCAGCAGCAGCATCAGGGTCCCTGCCAAAGGGCCTTGACAGGATGCAGCCTTGGCTCATTCAACATCATCCTTCACATGTGTGTGTGTGTGTGTGTGTGTGCATGTTTTCCTTTTTTCTTCTTTTCGTGAGTGTTTTTTTGTGTGTTTGACTGTACTCATCAGTTTTAATCTTTTGGGGTTACAGGGGGTCTGTCTTTCCAAGTGGCGATTCATTAGACCTCTCCAAGTGTCGTATTGTTAAGTTCTGTACCTGGTTATCGGTAAACCTGACTTTGCAGAACTGGATGTTGTCTCTCTTGGGGGGATGTGTTCTCTCCCTTTGCTTTGCTTTGCTTTTGTTGTGAGGGATTTGTGTGTTTGAAGATTCAGGCCTTGGAGGGAAGCATCTCATGGAGAATGTTCATCTAGAGGGCTTTAAAATTCTAAGATTTAAAAATAAGATAGATAGGTAGATAGGGTGGGTAAACCTTTTGTCTCTTGCTAGGTATACATGTCTTGGTCAAGATCATGCTTTTCATTGGAGTACCCAATGCTTACATTGGCTTACACCTTGAAAAATTAAAAAAAAAAAAAAAAAAAAAAAAAAACTAGTCAGTGACTTGGAGCATAAAAGATCATATATTTTTTCTTATGGCTTGTTAATGAATGCCTGGGTTTTCCTCTACTTTAGCAAGTGCCTTCACTGTGCAAAAACTCAACTTTAATATTAAGAGGGTAGACGGAGAAAAAAACATAATAAAATAAAACTGCTGAGGTGTTCTCCGATTATTTTCAATTATCCATTATATGATTGAGCAAATAACTAAAAATTTATCAAGAGGAAAAGAGAAATAATGCCTGCGTTACACCAACTTTGTTTATTGCACATACCTTTCTACTTTTAAATTTGCAAAATAGAATCTAAAATGCATTGATTTTGATGTGGCAGACTTATTCGAGACGGAAATGACAGTGAAACCTGGACTTAAAGCCAAGTGGTAGAAGTTTTGATCTTGTGGTGAAAAATTGCACTAAAAGCAAGCAACACCGAATGACTGTGATGTACTCAAGATGGAACACAATCTTGTCACCCATGAATGACTGTACTTTAAGAAAAATAATAGTCGAAGCAAACAAAATAAACATACCTTACCAAATGGAACAGAATATGAGTTTATTTCATTTCAAGACTTTGATATTTATTGTTTATAAGTACCTTTGAGGTGCTCTTTGAATGCTCCATTATTATGTCTAAGTTTCAAGATATGTTGAGTTAGGTACATGGAGGCCAAAGCCAAATCGAATGTAGAATATATTTGAATTCATTGTTCTAAGGATATGAGCATGATTGCAAGTTACTCTTTCTCATTAAAGCAAACTGAAAGCGATGAAATATATATATATATATATATATACACACACACACACACTTCTATCTATTTCATTTACAACTCTCAATAATTGTGGTTGTGTGGTCTTCAGCAAATATGTATATGTAATATTTAAACTTGTGGTTGTGTGGTCTTCAGCAAGATCTACTGGAGTGATCATTATCTTATTTTCAGCCCACTAAAATCCCAACCGTTTTACTCTAAGAACTTTCTTTATGAAAACACAATTTACTCTTATACACACACAAAAAATGAGATGAATGTGTATTTAACTGAAAATTAAGATGTGATCAAATATGTAATTTTAAGTCTATTGTTATTTATTTATGAAAAAATTGGGTTAATAACAATTTCCTCTAATCCTAGATTAAGATTTTTGTGGCTGGGAATCCACGACAAAGCCTGCCACGTCAGACTGAGAAACATGGCAGACTAATAGCAGCTATCCTGCCATGCCTGAGCATGAATTTGGTTCATCAATTTAGGATGGTGCCAGAGCCTGAAAGTTCAAGCCCTAGTTGTGTACTCTGGAAGGTGGTGGCAGAAAATTAAATCTAGGCATTGAATGACTTTTCCATGCAACTTGACATGCAAATGTTATTATTTATACACGATAACATTTGCACAATTTCATGTTTTAAAGTAAAGTATAATCATGTTGTTACTGTGCTTGGAATAACAGAATGATGCCTGTAAGCAAGAAATTTGAAAAAGTCTTTGGTTTCAAAGGGCTCATCAAACCAAGTTTGATTTGTCACAAAGTTCTTTTTATGTGAAATTAATAATTTAGTTTTGCTTTTAAGTTTTATTTGAACAAGTTTTATTTTTATTTCTGTTTTCAAATTGAAAATGGGATTCATTTCCATGTATTTACATTCAACAAAAAATCGTTAATTAAAAATAAAATAAAATAAATGTTTGGCAGTAGCCTAAGCATTTTTTGTTTGCACAGATGTTGAAAATTAATGCCCAATCTATTTTATTTATCCTCTTATCCCATTACAATAATAATATACAATTATGTTTTAAATAATATGTAAGAATATATATATATATATATATATATATATACATATACATATAAACATAAATATATAAAAACATAAAAACAGAGCTCCATAAAAATCTAATTGAATTAGTTTTTATTGTTTTAGAAAAAATATAACAACAAAGGTCTCTCAGAAATCCTATGAAGTAAAATTGACTTCTCATATGATATGACTTGCTAAGACTTAAAGATTTTTGAGGGTATTGACACCCAATCAAACTTTTCTACATCTTATCTTGTCTATGTATTTTCATTACAGAAGTTTTCTACTTGCAATGCAAAAAGTTGAGTTTCATTGAAGAAGATGGTCCAAGATATTAGCTCCCCTCAACATTTACTATATTTGCCTCATTTCTTTACAAAAAACTATAATTTTGCAACGTAACTCATCTCTACAACTTATCAAATATTATTACATCAGCAATTGAATTTTTTTGGATGCATGCAAGTTGGAACTATTCTATATATCTTGTTTCTAGAAGCCTTAGCTAGAACTTTATCTCATTTTGGGGTTGCACTTTCTTTGGACTTTCACTTGCCAATGTGGGGTCAACTGGGCCAGTATCAATCAACCGAGGGATCTATTCAACCACTGAACATTTTGCAAACAGAATCATTAACACTCTTGAACCTAGACCAACATCTAATAGGCTTATGCAAAACATTATATATGAATGTAGCCAATATGGATCAGTTTTCAGCCAATTCACATTACATCTCAACGTTAAGTTTTCTGGCATGGAACACTGAACGTATTTTTCATACAAAAGTTAGGCTACTTGACATGACTCCAATACACAACCCAATGGACGTGCTCTAGTAAATACTCTTGTGCATGAAAGAGTTCGATTTGGAAAAACCTGAACAATGCAACAGAGAACTTTGCGAATAAAAGTTTTAAAATGCATTCAACGATTACCTTATAATTGTACATGCAAAACGGAATTGTCATGGGCTATACATGTTAAATGGGTTATATAAATAATACAAAGCTTGCCAAAGCCAGAGAGTTTAGGAAAGAAAAATTGGTCTCTGTTCTGCTTGAGCTCTTAATTCATAGGGACCTCATACGGATAAAACAATAATACAAAGGGACGGAAGACAATACCAGATTGATGCCGACATGGTATCAAAAGTTTAACCCTCGTGCTAAAACATTCTGTTGAATTCATATTGTCACCAAAGAGGACATCGTGCAGACAAGATTCTTCACTTACATCAACAAAGATCGATAGAACAAGTAGAAATAATACGATGTGCTCATAACCAATTTCACAAGATAAGAACTTAATGAACCACAACATGAAAACATTATAACAAACATTGAATGGTAAACACGTAACATAAGATAGAAATACCAAAAGCTGTGTTGACAACACAAATTTTGCCGATTGGGTAGGGGAGGTATATCCTTCCTAATCTCCGCAGCCACTTTCATGATACTTAGCTATAGGACACGATTAGCAAAGGACAGACGCAAAGAAAATAAATTAAAAAATCTATCAAATGTGAAAAAGTAATGGAAATTGGGCAAGCCAGTTTAGGTACCAGTGTGTATATTCAGCAACGTATTACATATATCCCAATAAAATTTACCTTAACTTACAAATATGGTCTCAAGCTCCACTTTTGTAGAAACATTTCAGCTATATACCAAGATTTTACCAAAGTATACAACCTTGCGAATCGCAATTTACCCAACTTGAAAAGAGAATCATCACTTCTCCTTCGCGAGCTTCACCCGGTTCTCAGCTTGTAACAAATCTTGCTGCATCTTTGCAATCCGGAACAAAAGCCTGTAGAGACAACCCAAAGGCAAATAATAAACATTTCAGCTAAAACATTAAGTCAGATGCATGGAATAAATAGGCGAGTACATAGAATACCAAAAGAAATGAGTTCAAAGACCTTAAAGAAGTATTCACAACGAGATTTTTTAATTTTCAAAAACTGCATACATACCAGTAGAAGAATGCAGCACTAATCGCAAGAAGCGCATTGCGATGAGACTTGAATAGCTGCGCAAATAAAAGTGAGAAATGTAGTGAGGACGTGAACAAGTACATTCAAAAGATAAACCAGTATCATGATATCCATACAAACAGTAAACATTCCAGATATTGTGTGCAGATACTCAAGGCTGCCAAATTGAATGAAGCTGGCAAACAGATGCACTCGAAAGAATATGACCCTTACCGTTCTTTGAAAACGATCTCTCTCGAATGGGGAACACTCCTGTTTGCTGCAATTGATGCGATTTTCATACTTCCAGTATACCTCTGAAATCCAATTGATGATTGGTGCCATTACAAGAAGTCAGCATGTTGCCAACATACTTTTCATATAATACAACGATACACAAGTAAGATTTGTTCTTTATAATTGATAGTGTACAATGCTAAAACTACAAGAAGGTTCAAGACCAATTACCCAAGAGTTGGAAAAGTGCAAACGGCACAACAGCCAAACCGGGTTGGAGTATTCTTTTAACGAACTCCAAAACCTGTTTAGAAAGTCTAGGTGGCAAAGGTGCGGAGAGCAGTAGGAGGACAGCTGCCTCAACGACAGCAATTGCTCCAAGTAAATACCACTGGAGTGCCATGGTGAGAACACACTGGGTAGAAGGCTCACTGAACACCTAAAATGTTCAAACACGTTCATGCTATCAGCGACTTTGCAAACTCCTAAAAAAACTCTTCACATGACCTCACGACAACACAAAGAATTCGACATGTAGATTTCGAGATACAACAACGATGTGATCCACTAGAAATCCATTGTACGATACAAGCGATAAGGACTAGCATTTCGAGAACTTCGTGGTCGTCTAAATTTAAATTGACGGAAGATTTAACACCATTGCAACTCTCAAAAACCACTGAAACCCATAACAAAACATTGCACACACTCCAACATCAGAACTCCTAAAACCAAAGGCTTAGAAGAGCCCTAACGCAACTGTGATGCCTTACTGTGAAGGTCCAAACCTAAATCGCCACTATGTTCCTTTGCTACAACTTCAAACTTTCAAATCTTCCGCGCACAGGACTTGACGATCGAATATTACAACGTAATCTGTCAATCAGATTTACAGATACTACGATAACGAAGACGGGGACCCTGAAACAGATTGAGACTTAAGAATCACGAATCTGTACCATATATGGACACTTACAGCAATCACAAGAGAAGAAGGAAAAAAAAAAAAAAAAAAAAAAAAAAAAATCCAATTCCGACAGCAACACCTCACTAGATAGTGAAGTCCAAATACAGGCAGGGCAGAAAACGATTTGAAGTATGTACAAGATACAGAATAAGAAGAAAAGGAGAAAACAAGGAAACCGTAAACAAAGCAAGATCAAGTAAAGAATGGATCGGGGAGTCGACTTCAGCTGATTGGAGACGACGATAGTACCTCAGCTACGGTCGAAGTGGAAAAGAAGACACAGCTATGGCGAAACCCTAATCCCAGATTTGCAAATACTATGAGATGTGTGGGTGCAAAGGCCCACTCGGGATGGGCTCCGAGGCTCAGCCTGCCACGTCAGTCGAATACGTGGCAGTCGAATCTGCACACGTGGATCGACGTGGACCTGCCAAGTTTCGAAGACAGCTGGTTTGTTATCTCGGCCAGTGTGAACAGAGAGGTTTCATCAGCTATGATAGTGATTTCCACTCGAAATAAAAATGTGAACAAATTAACTGAACTTTCTAAAACATGTAAAATTATTCTTCAAAATTCAATCAGTAGTTGGTGTTTTGGTCATTGATTAAACTGCCAACTTTTTACACATTTTGATGTTGGACTTGATACTCAGTTTTACGTATAAGCTTTGGATTCTTATTTTCATTGGATAGAATACAATTCAACGATTAAAATTCGGACTAGGACGGTCGTTTTTTTTTTTTGAACAGACCTCTTATTAGTGAAGTAGAAAGACAAATTTGTATGTTACTCTACCAGTTAATCAATCTGATTGAATAGAAACTTTACATTGGGATCATTGAAGTCTCCAATTTAAGTTGGTCAAGTTTTAAAATTTTAGAAGTACGTGCTGGATATACATATATATATATATATATATATATATATATGCACATATATTGTTCAATGTAGGTCACAATGAAAATGCTCCATATAAAGGTCTTATTTCTTGATTTAAAAGAAATTGGTTGATAGCTAGCCAACAACACATTAATATAGTGTATGAAGTATAAAAAGAAAAAAGAAAAAAAAAAGAAAAAAGAAAAAAAGTTAAAAATTGAGTGCTATAATGATGAAACCTAATAAGGTCACAAAGACCTTATCATAGGTAAAAATTTAAAATTTAAAATTTTGAAAAAAGTTATTTTATTTGATGTCACGAATAATGACAGATTTTTATAGAACTTTTCACTGAGGTTCACCAAGTGAGAAACACTAACCCACCATGCACACAGTAAAGCTCTATTCTAACAGAAAAAGTTGAGCGAGGTTATTGTTGAATGTGATATTAGATTGGGTTCTTCACATTTTTATGTCCCTCCTGCCCATCATCAACAAACAAGGCATACAAATTCTTTGACCCTGTGGCGACATCTGGTTGCTTCCCCTGGACCTTGGTAACCACAACTTTGATTCCAAGATAGCTGCCTGACGAAGGCTTATTTGTCCTTAAACTCTGGACTACGTTTATCAACAAAGGCGGACATACCTTCCTTCTGATCCTCCAACCCAAATGTAGCATAAAACATTATCTGCTCTCTCTTTATGCCCTCCGTTAGACCCAGTTCATAGGCTGTATTCACAGCTTCCTTGGCAATCGCCACAACAGGCTTTGACTGTTTTGAAATTTCCTTTGCAAGGGAGATTGCTTCTGCCACTAATGCTGCATCCTCTCCTGGCACCTGCAGTAAACGACAAGCAGTCAATCACAAAGTACTCTCGAGAAGGTACCCCTGGAAAAACAAGGTTTAAGGGAATAGAGCAAACCAAGGCATCTGAAGGTGATATGAGTATCCATGATTATGGAATTGTGAAGTGTCACAAACTGAACATTGCTGGAATCTGCCGGATAGCAACAACGAACTTAATGTTTCTGCACTAAGATTTAGGCTCCAAGCAACGCAATCGGACAATAGAGAAACGTTGAAATGGTTAATCACAATTCGAGGAGCTTACCACACGACAGGCAAGTCCTCTCTGGGCAGCTTCTTGAGCTCCCATAAAGTTTTTACCAGTCAGAATCATCTCCATGGCTCGGGACTTGCCAACTTCACGGATGAGTCTCTGCGTTCCTCCAATACCAGGAATGGTTCCCAAGTTAAGCTCGGGTTGACCAAACTGAGCTCTCTCGCCTGCAAGGATAATGTCGCACAACATTGCTAGCTCACAGCCTCCTCCCAATGCATAGCTGTACAATTGCCACTTATCAATACCAATGACCTACATCCACTTCATGTTTGATTTATTTTCATCGATTTCACAATTGTTTTTGTTTTAAATGATAAGGACTAACATGCACAGCTTAAGAAGCTACGTCACAAATGGCGCTCACCCATTCACGGCCGCAATTATAGGTTTACGGATGGCAGTCACAGCATTCCAATGACCTACAAAACGAGAGGCATAAGCATCCACCATCGTCTTGTCTTTCATCTCCTTGATGTCAGCCCCAGCAGCAAATGCTTTACCTTTTCCTGTTAATACGATTGCTCCCACCTGTTCCGCGTATGCATTCCAACGCAATATGAGAAAGAAAGAACCAAATAAAAACTTGACCGCATCTCTACAAGTGCATGTCATTCTTGCGCAGGAGCAATACTAATCCTCTGTGTAGTTCCTGTGTCATCCAATGAATCCAAAGAGAAAAATGCCTGAACAGTCCTACAAAGTAAAACAGCTTTTCTAGTTAAACTGCAACTATGCGGGTTTTAGCCTTCATCCTTCACTTCCAAGTCAAAGGCTATATCTGATAAAGTAGCCATGAAGCCAAGCATAAATGCAAGGATACATGATGCAATGCCATATGTAATATAATATTCAAATTGTAGGTGACAAGATTCTCGCACCTGAGTAGATGCATCGAATGTTTGCAAGGCATCCACAACCTCAACCATGAGGGCATGTGATAGGGCATTCAAAGCCTTGGGTCTGTCCAACGTGATTAAACCCACATCTCCATCAGCCACCAGGTCCGCATGGATACACTCGTACTGTTTCCCCACCAGTTTCTTCCCTTCATCCTCCACGGGAATACCCCCCTCTTGGTCCACCGCTTTGGTAACATGAATTAAGCGCGAAAATTGTGGGATAGTGGTCTCTGATCTTCCGAGGAGCATCTGGTAGTGGTTGCTTGACAGTACTCTGCAACGATGACCTGACGACGAGCATGGTTTTTGGATGTTCGCTCCAAACTCAGTGGAACTTGAACGAACTACTGATACTCTCTCTCCACCGAGCTCCCGCAATGCTGAAAATAAGAATGACAGACGCCATCAATGACAAAAATTCACCCTATTCACGCATCCGGAACATTTTAACATGGACGATGCTCCCAGGCCAACACGTCATAATTCCCACTTTCCTGAGATTCAATCGCTCGCAGCTACTCATCAATAACTCCACACCCAAAAAACCCCTCGACACCCAATTCAGAAACTAAGAAATATTCTCCAACGATCGCACTCATGACGACATCCGTGCACAATATTCACAAGCAACGATAGGAAAACACGACCAAGAGATCGAAAAGACACACACGAAAGAGTACGTCGATTGCCGTGCCCCAAGGCTGCCCTCAATGGGTACTGCACAAAAGGGCGCATATTAACAGACTCCAAGGCTCCAGCGCTTCGCAGGTGCACACAAAATATTCCCTTCAGATGCCACTGCCGCAATTCACACTCTATGCGACCGTTCAACCTCAAATCGCCATCAAAATCAAGTTGTGAAGCCTTGAGGTGGCGCAATTCTGGAATAGTTTGTGGGGGGACAACACTTCTCACGAGTGAGGCTTTCCACGGTGGAGCCACATCGGCTGCTGCTATCCTGCAACACACTCACTCGGTGCTTCTAGTTACGGCGAGTAGCCACTCGGGACCCACACCTGGAGCCCTAATTTTAGTCCTTCTATCTTAAGTCTTATGTAATAGTCTCAAAACGGTGGGTTTTTGTTTTTCTTTTAGCTCCTTATTTGCAGTTGGGTTTTCCTTACAAATGCATAAACTCAATACAGGGATGCATAAGTCCTATTGCTTTATTGTTTTTTATGGTAAAGGAACTTTGTCTACATGTTTCTATATGTGTTAATGATTATTTATTTATTTAGTTATTTGTAAAATCTCAATAACTTTTTGGTGTTAATTATTGAATGAATAAAAATATATGCTTTCTTATTTTATTTTTTTGAAAACAAGAAAAAAAATGTGAGATTGCTTGAGATTAGAATAATAAATTTGTATCATTTTTTTTCTTAATATTTCTTTTAACAAGAAAAGTGGAGGATTTACCTTATTGTTGTTGAATTATATATTCTAAGTCAACATTCAGATTGAGAGAGGAGAAGATTTATACACACCTTTACAATTGATAATTGTTTCACATGACATTATTTTTTTGTTTCTATAATGTTTAGTTTTAATTTTCTAAAAAATTTGATTGTTCTTCAAAGTTTGTTTGCTTTAGAAATTATGTTCTACAAAGCAATTTCTTTAGGAGAATATTAAAGAAATCCAAACTTTTACTAAAGTGACCCACCTATCTAAAATATTATTATCCTTTTATGCTCCACATCCTTGTTCTTCCCATTTCACACATTCTTAGTTCTTCCTTTTCTTCCCTTCTTTCCTTTCTCTCTCTTTTTTCGTCATTCTTCTCTTGTCTCAACCTTATCTTGAGTAATTGTTTTGTAGATTGTTTCTCAATACCACACTTCTTGTGTAAGACATTTTCTAAGTTTTTTTTATGTTGAATTGTAATATTTATTGAACTCTATTATGAGCAAGACTGTTAAATTATTGCTTTCAATTGCTTCTAGCTATTCTTTAGATGTCGATTATTACAGTATCACAAATATATATATTTAATCTAATAATTACTTACATAATATGAATAAATAAAAATAGATAAAAATATATTAATTTGATAATATTTTGTAGAAAAGCTTTATAGACATAATTTCTTTTTTATACGTGTCTATATAAGATTGGTAGGTTGAATACTTAGCCAACAAATTAGATATATGTTGCATATATTGATAGCTTGTGATACAAGATAACCATGTAGTGCATATGGTCAAGGACATGAATCTTGAAGAAATAAATCCTCAATATATTCTTATATTACTCAAAAGGACTAGAAAATCACTCAAAGATGATATAGTATTAAACTAGAATGGCTATTGCCAAAGTCAAGAAGACTAAAAAGTCTTAAAAAAAGACTAGGGACTAGAAATGCATTGACAAGAGTGAAGAAGGCTTCACCCTTGCTTCCATATATACTCTTAATTAAGAGTTGCATGACAATATCCTATAGGACCTTCAAAACATGTTGACTTTGTAAGACATGTATGTTAACTTGTAAGGCAAGTTTTCTATATGTGTACTACATAGTTAGCTTGTTTTACAAGCTATCAACATGTGATTAACTTGTTGATCAAGTTTCTAGCCTACCAATCAATTACAAACACATATAAAGTTAAAACAACATCTATAAAGCTTCTCTAAAAAATATTATGAAACAAATTTAACTTTATCTTTTTCTATTTAATCATATATTTAAACATTAGAGTAAATATATATGTCCATGATATATACATAAAAAACTTACCTTGTAAGTTAAGACATGTGATTTGTAAATCAGACATGTATTAGAGATCCTATAAAATGTTGCCACGTAGCTCTTAATTAAATAATATATATGGAGGCAAGAATGAAGTCTTCTTCACTCTTTTCAACTTTTTTTTTTGCTTCTAGTGTAATTGTAAAGATCTCTAGTTTTCTTGTCTTTTGGCAATAGCCATTCTAGTTTCTTTTTGAATATATATATATATATATTTATTTATTTTGATTTTTTGATCTTTCTTTGAAAAAGTCTCATTTTTTTAGTAGCATTTATTGAGTTCTTATCCTTCACATGTAATAATTATTGATTAATTTGAAGCTATGTTATTTAATTGCTTCCTCAAATTAATCTTAAACTCATCAATAAGTTATGATGGAGATATCAATAATGAGCAAGTTACAAAAGCTTTTAACTAGGTTGTCTCAATTTATTAAGAATTGAAGAATGGATTAATTGTATTGATCTTACTCTCTTTTTAGTAGAAAAAATTGAGATAACAACTTACTTAGATGCAAAGCCTTCAATCTTGGCAAATTCTTCTTTTTGAGCCAAAGCTTAATTTGACCAAATTCAAAAAAATAGAATATTTGCTTTGAACCATAGAAATCATCTAGAAGAGCCATTTTTGGATGTAGAGAGTGAAGTGGTAAGCTCTATTACACAATTTGTAAATTTACTATTTAGAATAACTCATTTTTGTGAGGTGGAGTTAAAGTTACTTCTACCACTTGGCAGATATAACAACTTAAAGACTATTAATTTCTTTACTAAGATTGTATGTCTATACTTAATATCTATTTTATTGTTTTATCTTTTTGTCCCCACAAGTAATTTTTTATAGTCTATATCATTTAATTTTGAATATACATGACATAATATGTTTAAATTTGAGATAGTCACATGTTAATGTTCATATTATGAATTTTGATTTCAAATTCAAAATAAGTGATTTCTCTTCAAGTAATAATATTTACATGCCAAATATAAGAAAATAAGGTAATAATATTACAATCTACTCACACTTCTCTACATGATAGAAGGGAGCCATTTAGTACAAAAATACCAACTTGTTCAACTTGCCTTCAAATATATACAATATAAAGCTTACAAAAGATATAAAAAAGATAAGTTTATGAAAGAAAGAAATAATGTTTCATGCAAGCATTATCAGAAGTGTCATGGACATAGATATGTATACCAATAATTACTTATATGATTTAGATAATAATAGGTAAAAGTAGGTCAATTCCATAATATCTTCTATAGAAGCTTTTTAGAAGCTTCATAGACGTTACTTTGACTTTATAGGTGTCTTTAATTGACTTTTCAGGTTAGATTTGTGGTCAACAAGTTGGCCATATTCCACACATGTTGGTAGCTTGAAGAACAAGCTAACTATGTGGCTCACATATAAAAAACTTGTCTTATTAGCTAAGGCATGTGTCCTACAAAGTCAATACATATTAGAGGACTTATAGAACATTGCCATATAGCTCCTACTTAGATAGTATATATAGAAGCAAGAGTGAAGTCCTCTTCACTCTTGTCAACTCCTTTTTTGCTTCTAGTCTAGGTTTAAGAGTCTCTAGTTTCTTTGTCATTTGGCAATAGCCATTTCAATTTCTTTTTAATGTACATACTACTTTATTTCTATTTTGTCACTTTTTTTTTTATACAAATTTTCTAAGTTTATGCATCTTCTTCCAGTTCATGTCTATGACAAGAAGAATATAATTCTATTCCATACAAATACTCAATTTTTACTTATAAAGTACAATTGATGTATTCAAGCAATGTATTAATGCAATACAAATGATGATCATGAATTATGCTCAATTGTTGTTGTTTTTATAAGAAAATCAATCTACAAATAATTATTTAAGATGGAATTGAAATGGAGAAGAGATAGAAGATGAGGTCGGAATGAGAGAGAAGTTAGGAATGTAGGAATCAAAGAGAATAGACACATGAAACATGAAGGTGCAATGATGTTTTAGATAGGTAGGTCGCTTTAGTAAAAACTTGAATTACTTTTAAAATTCTCATTTTTTTAGTTTATATTAATTAACATATCTATAAAATAGTATCATATTAAAAATACTATTTTAATATATAAAAATATTTTTTAATGATATATTATTATATTAAATTTTAATTATCTAAAACTTATCAAAGCCATGAATCTCAAAGAACTAAAAGATCAATATACTCTTGTGTTACTCAAAATGACTACAAAATCACTAAAAAAATGGTTTAGTATTAAAATAGAATGATTATTGCCAAAGACAAGAAGGCAAGAAGATAAAAAAGTCTTGAAATAAGTCTGAGCACTAGAAAAGCGTTGACAAGAATAACGAAGGCTTCACTCTTACCTCCATATCTAACTAAGAGCTACATGGTAACGTTCTATAGGACCTCTGACATGTGTGCAACTTGCAAAACACATATTTAACTTACAAGACAAGTTTTCTATATGTGCACCAAATAGTTAGCTTGTTCCACAAGCTACTAATACATGTGGCATGTGGCTTCTTTGTTGGCTAAGTTTTTAACCTACAAATCAACTACAAACATGTCTAAAGTCAAATATATATCTGTGAAGCTTCTATGAATCTACTAAGAAGCTTTGTCATAAGATAATATCAAATCTACTTATATTTATTTTCTATCTAATATTTCTTATGTAAATAAATATGAATGTCTGTGATATTATTCCCCTTTTAAGAAACAAGTTCTATAAGGAGTGACAATCATTTGTTAAGAAAGTCCAAGATGCAATTAATTGTGTTTGCTACATATTCTTATCTTTGTTCTCTTTGATGATGGTTGATAGGTCCTCTCAGCCATTCATAGTATTCCATACGAATGCAAAAAGACGATCCTATTATTTAATTATTTTTTAGGCATTTGTAACTCCCTTCAAATAAAACATTTGAAATATTATTAGAGGTAGTTTCTACTTCTAATAACATCACCAAGCATTGGAAGTCTCTTCTAAGGTTGTGATATCAAACATATTGTATTTCACCATCTGATTAAGGAAGAATATATCATTTTTGAAGGTCTTTATCTCTATTGCATTGTCTTAAAGATTATAATATTTGCAATGTCTTGTCTAGTAATTCATCAAACAATAATTCTTGACTTGAATTTGCTAGTTATTAATTCTCTATTTCTTTAATACTACCAATACATAAAAACTACAAACAAAAATAGAAAGTTATGAGTCCCACCAATAGTTTTTAATTGGTGGAATTGTTAAAAATATATTCAAACTCATATTTATCATAATTGATCCAATTCCAAGCAAATGATATTTATTGTAATAGCTTACATCTTATCAATCTAATTTCCAATTTAATATTCACATGGATACAATCATCATTGGATAATGATGTACTTACCAATGAATTAGATGATAGTAAGATTAAACTAATGGCAAGTATACTTAATTTAACATTTTTATATAAATATAAACATATAATAGAAAATAATATTATATATATATATATATATATTTTTGATAGAAAAAAATTTATAAATATAGATTCAAATTCTAAAATCATTCTAAAATATCCACTAAAATCATCTACATCTCTTTATTTATTATCAATTATAGTCTCTAATGTATTCACAAATTGTTTGCCAAAAAATTACATTCACATGTGTGCTTAACCAAAACAAAGAGATAGAGAACAAGAATATTATTTATACACTAGACAAATGCTCCAAAGAATATAATTGCTATAAGAATACAAAGAACAACACAAACCAAACGGGTTGTTGGACAATGCTTAGGGCCAATTGCGCCGTCTCCATCGTATCTACCGACGCCGTCGTTGCACCGCGGAACCTCTCGTTGGAGGACGAGCCCAAGCGACGGGGCGAGAAAGCCACAGTGCATTCCGGCGGCGACTTAAGACGCACATCTATCATGATACATTTGTGCACTAAAGAATTAGTATAATCGCCATGTTGACTCCAATCGATAATCGGCGGTTGACCCACAAAGCGCTATAATCACGAGTTGCGGCGTGCTCGCTGAGTTGAAGAACGACCAATCTACGGTTACGGGGCAAATATTTCTGCGACAACAGGTCTATTTACAATACTGAGGAGGGGATTTGAAAGGTAGCCCCGAGATTTGGAAGCCCTTCACATCATGAAGAGAATTCGACGATTGAGGAGGTTCTTCTCATGATGTGAAGAGCGCAGCTGCGGCGATCGGGGCGCGCAGCTCATACGAATATACGGACGAGAGTTTGTGGGTCGTTGGGTGTCTTCACTGGGAGTACAAATGAGGAGCCAGCCTTGGGGTGGCGATGGCGCGTAGGCGGGTTCTCAAGGGCGTGGTGCAACCGTAAAGCTCCTCCATGTCGATGCTGTCTGACGTGACGCCGGGGGGGAAGGACCAGTTGAATCCGTGAAGAAGGCGGGCTAATGTGAAGAGTACCATGGTGGTGCCGAGGTTGTACCCTGGGCATTGCCGTCTACCGTTGCCGAATGGGAGGATTCGGAACCCAGAGTCGTGAATGGCCGTGAGGTTCTCGTTCGCCCACCTCTCGGGTTGGAATATGAGGGGGTCCACCCACGTCTCCGAGCTTCGTCCCAACGAGTAGATGTTGATGAGCACGCGGGTGCCCTTGGGGATCAAGTAGCCGTTGAGGGTGGTGTCTGCCATTGATTCCCGTGGGATTGCGAATGGACCAGCTGGGTGGAGGCGGAACGTTTCCTTCACTACGCACATGAGGTAGGGGAAGTTGCTCACGTCTGATTCCTCGACGTTGCGCTCAAGCCCTACCACGGAGTCTATCTCCTCCTGTAGCTTTCGTTGTATCTGAGGGTTTCTTATGATTTCCGCCATTGCCCATTCGTTCGTCACTGCTGACGTATCTGTTGCTCCTGCCATCATATCCTGCACATCGAATTTCCTTAATCCATTAGGTCCTGGTCTTCTCAGTTACCGTTCAGAAGAGACGCAATGGTCGGTAAGATTTTTTTCAGTTTAATATGCCTCATCCGACTTACGATAGTGACAGCTTTTATAGTCTTGTCATCCAAGTGGGGTGCCCCGTCCTCGCCCGGGAGATCGAGCAGCACGCTTATGAAATCGTTCTTCTTTCCTCCAGGCAGCTTCCCAGATTCCAAGTCTCGATGCTCTTGAATGATGGCATCGAGAACCTCGTCAAATTCGCCCCGCAGCTATGAAACCAGTTCCGTTAGAGCAGACTCAAAAATCGGTAAAGCAATCAACGATTATGCGCAATCACTCACCCTCAAAGTTCATTGTTAAAGAGTTGCAAAATCAGTCAACACACCTTGTACATGTCTCTCTCAAATCCCTGCAAGTCAAGCCACCCCAGCGCCGGCACAAAATCCCTGGGATTGAGCGCTCCCATAAGCCGAAACAGCTCATGAATGATATGCTTGAAATCTTTTGGCTGCTTTCCGGTCGCAGCAAATTCCCGCCTCCCAAGCAACATGCGACACATAACTGTCATGGACACCCCGGCGAGAACATCCCTCAGGTCCACTACCTCGCCTTTATTAGCTCGCTCCGCGACTTCCATAATCATGCACCTTGACTCCTCAATCCGCTCTTTGCGTGTGTTCTCGAGCCTCTTAGGAGTCAACAGCTCGTGCACACAGATTCGCCGAACATGGCGCCAGTGAGGTCCATATGGGGCCATAGCGAAGTCATGAGCATCGTAGGCCAAAATTTCTGTGAAGGTCATGTGCGGCCTCGACGAAAACACATTATCTTGCTCCTTTGTGATCTCTGCGATGAGCTGGGGACTATCCACGACGACCGTAGGGATACAGCCCAGGCGAATGTTCAAAATGTGCCCATATACTTTGTGCAAGGCTGTCATGGTGCGATGCGGGTGTGAGCCCATCTGCAGAAGATTGCCGAGAATTGGCAAACCTTTCGGACCAGGCGGGAGGTTCACCGACGTCCCCGAGCGAATGAACAGAAACACACAGCTTAACAATGTCACTAAAACTGTGCACGTTGCAAAGGCCAAATGCCCGCTCTCGACCGGTTCACTGATGGCCGGAATCAGAAGCTCGGAAATTCGAAAATCCATAGTTCAAAATTAAAACTTAAAACCGTCGAAGATTGCTGAATGGTTATTGGCTTCTGAACTCGTGTTCCTCTACAGTCTCAACTCTCTCGTAAATTGGCCTGTGAGACTGCTCGTTGAGTAGCGAGCGGGGTCGCTCGACATGTCTACAGTTATTTTTTGTAGTTATCCAGACCAGGCGACAACCGAGAGAGATCCAAATGTAGACACAAGGCTGAGGCAACAAGTTTTCTACAAACGCAATTTTATTCGCGATATATAGAGGTTCACACCGTCAAGGCTTGCAGCGCCGACGAGCTCATCTCTATCATTACCGGAATCCCAAGTTCATCAGTCTTATGCTAGACTTGATTTTCTCAATGTCTTATGCAGCGTCGTACATGCTCTCTAGCAAGGCCGTGGAGAGAACCAACCTGAACTGCAATTCCAACGTCAATGCGACAGTTGCCCGCCCTCAGCAGCTCGCACAGTCCATAGAACAAGCTGCATGTACTCGAATTAATCACCTCCTCACAAAAACCACCCCTTGGTGGGCACTGATGTTGATCCCAAGGAGATCGTACCAGTACCTCTGGTACGTCCACTGGACAGCCACAAGTGCTAACTATTGCCTAACTCTCACCATCTCCGTCCCACCACACTCGGTCATGCGGTGGATCAAACACCCTTTACGATTTAACAGCTCACAATCTCACCACACCCTGCAACCAGGCGGTCGAACATACAAGCAAACGAGTCCTCATTGACCAGTAACTTACAGTGTTCCAAAAACTGAGGTACTGCCAAACCAGGACCACTGGAAGCAGCTTGTGGGCTCGACCTAGTCAGAGTCATGCTTCGTCTCAAGAAGTCCTTTTTTATTCCAGTTCATCAAAATAATTGAAACGAATGTTCATCACTGGCTTGGCGTGGCGCATTAATGAAGCTGCGTTCGTTGGTACGCTTTTACATCAGTCGACTGAGCGCATTAACGCCGCATTCAATTGAGGAGCGACTGAGTAGTGAGGCGATCTCCTTGGCTGCCATTTGCAACAGGTGTGACAATTTTGCGCCTCTGGACAGTTGTTCGATCATATGAACCCTAGTGTGTCAGATCGATCAGGAGACTCATTAAGCATCATTCCTGAACACTAGCTGTGAGAATTTTCTTGCCTATCATCATATTGGATCTCCTCCCTAATAAGATAAGTGACCCATCATTATAACTCTAATGTACAACTTCAGGTTGTTCGTTACATCTCATTCGAAAGGATCGATTTTCTTGTCCATTGTCTTCCAAATATGTGTCGCATGCTTGATTCTTGGTCAGAAAAAGGAGATTTATTAGAGCATTGGTCCAAGTACTAGTAGTAAGTAGGTATTCTTTTTACCAGCATGGCCTCATAGTTTGGAGGTCTGAAGGGGTGAAAAGCTGAACAGATGTAGCTGCCAGCCACTGAAACCCTCAAACATAGCAATCTGAGCTGACACTAAAAGTATGCTGAATTCTGTTGTTGTTTTTAAGGGTAAGAACTCTTGAGATATGGAAAATAAACTAGGCAGTACAGAGGAGGCAGCTGTTGAGGGGGGCAGTATGAATGCATGGAATCATGCTAATATGTGCAAGTGTTGAAATTTGACTATGACAGAAGCGTGGATTAAGAGGCCACACCTACTTTGAAGACAGTTGATTAAGGAATCAACAATATTTGGACATGCACATGCTTGGTACACTTTTGAGTGGGTTGTTCCAGTGAGGTGGTCAGCTCAACAATGGCTAATTCCTTGCCTGTGAGTCAATTTATTTTGTGTCGTTTTTATCTGGTGGGTTTATTGTGGAAGTGTGGAAATATTTAGGGGTTATTGCTTATCTAACTGCTTATGGTTGTGGCAATGGGTAATTCAAAAATCACATCATACATACTCATGATTCCCCTGACTTTAAAACATCCAAAGATCATGCTATGTGTGCTATGCTGAACCAAGCATTCATTCATGATGGTGTGCTTGTAAAACTAACCAGAAAAAAGAACCCCATAGCAGGTACTTCCTATATAGCCTTAGTAGTCAACATAAATAGTTTCTCATGATGATAAGTAGAAAGAAGCCCTCTATTATGGGTCACAATGATTTTCACCTTCCTCATTCACAAATAGATCCATAATTGACAAGCAATTGAAAAAGAATTGACGCTCCATCCACACATCGAAACAAATTCAAGCTTCACAATCCACATCAATTTTTTTACCCTCCACAATTATTTGAATGCATTGGACACATGAATAATTGTTCTGTACTCGCTAGAAGGAGGGGAAAATATGAAAAAAAAAATCAATGTTGCAGGTTGTAGAATTTAAGTTGTGTTGCGTCTAAGGATAGCGCATAAGTTCTAATACAGCAACCTATGCTCTTACAACGCTCAAGACTGCTCATATCCTTCGACGAAGAGAGAGTGTGAACTAAACTCGGCATCCATGATCCACTCTCCCGGCACCCTCCTGGATTCTACGCCTGTCAGTGTGCATGCGCTTAGTGTGCAGCTAGTTTCCAAAGGGGACGTACCCCAATCAACGTCTCCACACACCACCACCAACGCAAGGACTGATTCGGAACTCATTTCGTCGGGAAGCCTGAAACCTGTCAGTGCCCCATAACAATAACCGCGTCCGTATCACAACCTCACTCTCGCTAGTTGACGAGCACATCTACCTAACTCTGCATACTGCCATCAAAGCAACAAACAGAGACAGAAAGAGAGCGAGCCAGCGAGTTAAAAAGAGAAAAATGAAAAAAAAAAACAAAACAAAAAAAACGAGAGTGAGAAAGGGGTCACTCTCATGGCAAGTCACCGAGCTCAGATTTCCAGGTTCCCATTAGATTTGTGGAGGAGAACTAGCCCTCAAGCTTCCAGTCCGCATGGAGTACCTCGTGACTGATGTGTGGCAGCCGAGCTCAAACGCAGCCTCTGGTGGTGCATTCAATTTCTATCTGGAGTGGGTCGAGCCTGTTTGAAAATCATGAGTTTGTGGGAAACTCGGAGAGTTTGAGATTTAGCTGCGGTGGAGGCAGTTTTGGTGGCAGTCTTGAGGGGGGAAAGAGTTCACAACGAGTTGGACCACAGACCCTTCAAGGCTAGAGCGGCGCAAGGTTGACTCCCTTGGGCCAGGTCTCTGGAACTGCCAGTAAGTACAGCTGCACTGTCACCATGTAAGCAACCATCAACATTTGGGGGAGGAAATAAAAGGAATGAAGCTCCACCCGGGGAGGGGAAGAATATATTATTCCCACCTGGCGTTGAAGGATGAAAGATGAAAGTGTGCATGGCGGTCTTTGCAGGGTGTGGTAGTGCCCTATTGCATGCATGGAGGTGGGCGGTGACAACCACCGACCATCAACCATGGATCACTGTGGATTTGAGGATTATGTGTTTGGAGTCACATTGAGATTGGAGATCACTGAGATAGATTGAAGAATTGAGATGAAAAACTGTAAACTTTACAAGGAGGATGTAGTTCTATTGGATGGTCAATGTTTCTCCAGTGGTTTTTGGTCCAATAGACCTGATGCATATTTCAGGACAATTTTGAAAATATCTTTGTTTTTATATTTTATATTGTGGATTACAGAATTTTAATGTTCAACGTTTTTTTTGATGATTTTTCAAATATAGATTCTTGATACTCTAGTACTAGTTAAATTCCCTGTGGTGGTCTTTTTTTGGCTAATTCTATCCAACAAGTATGTTCTTTATTTCTATGTTATTTTGTATGTTGACTATTATCAAAACTTATAGAGCATTTCCCTTTTTATATATATATATATATATATATGTATAGAGCCTCTAATCTACAATTTCAACTTAATCTATGTTTAAATCTTTTCTTCAATGTATTTACTATAATGTTTTTATGTCTTGATAGTATTGGTTATTAGTTGGCTTTGATTTTTTCCTTAAGGGATATTCAATTTAAGTAGAATTAGAGATAGAATATCTTACAATGTATAGTAATTTTTATTTATAATTAAATTTATGTTTTTTATATTAATTTTATTCTCTTTTTTTCTATAAGTTAAGAAAGATTTCATTTCTCTAGCCAAACACAATCTATTGGGTTTGGATTAAAGATTTTTTAGATCATCATAAATAAAATTATATTAATTTAGTCATTTGTACACCTTGCCATTCATATATTTAATATTTAAAAATAAAATATTTAGATGTAAATTATTTTCTAAATTATTTCTTCTAAAATACTTATTTATTTTATTTATAATATTTTTTAAATATAAAGAATATTATTATTAATAATAAAAATTGATATTTTAATTTTTTATAATAAACATATTTTTATCTTAGTTGCTTATACAATCAATCAAAGGTTTAAAAAAGAAATTAGACTAATTATTATTATTATTATTATTATTATTATTATTATTATTTTATAAATATACTTTATCTAATTCTCATATAAATACTAAAAGATTTTTATAAAAAATTACTAGCCTTTGTTTAATTATGCCAATTTTTATGTAATTCTATCATTAAATCTCTATGTTTTATAAGTAAATTTTTTCTTGTGCACTATATTTCTTTTATTTTCTAAATACTAGGTATATGAATCTTTTGAGGTGTATTTTTTAGATATGTTTAATCTTACAATTTATGACTATTCTTCTAAATATATATGCTAGTTTAATATTAAATACAAATATATTTTTTTAGATCTTTTACAATTTTTTTTATAAAAGATACAAGTTGTTGTGTATATCTTAAATTGTGTTGTAAACTTGGTTGCAATTTTTGATATTTAATATGTATTTAGATACCATCAATTTTTATTCTTTTGTAGTTAAATTAGTTTAATTTTAAATCTAAGAAACATTGGAAGATTAAATTGTTTAAGGATAATAAATTTTATTATTAATCTTACTTTTAAAATATTAAGTAATAACTTTATATATATTAAGTTATTTTTTTAATAATTATTAATGAATTAAAATCAAATATATTATTTCAATATTTTAGTATTAATTTTTTATTTTATTATTAAATAATTTTTTAAATAATACTAATATAGATGATTATAAAATATATTTTAAATAATAATAGATCATGTTGTATAATATTTGTTAAAGTAAATAAATAAAAGTGAAATAAGTTATTTTGTAGAAGATATTATCTTAGGTAAGTTACTAATAATCAAAAAATTGACTTTGATATATAAAAAAGGCATTCTATGGATATAAGACGAGGTCAAGGATCAAGAGTCAAAATCAAGAGAATAAAGTATCAACTAGGAAATATCTAAAGACTAGATATTAGTAATTAGTATTTCGCATAGGATATCCTTCTGATTAGTGATATGCTAAAGGATTCAAGGTTATAGGATACTTTTGTGATAACTTAAATGCCAAAGGATCCTAAGACCATATTTATAAATGCCAAAGAAGAGTTGTCTTTTAAGGTAGTAGCCACCATCTATAAGTAATAGATAGTGGAAGTGAGAGTCATCTTACTCTATACTCTCTGTATGTGCAATCTTGTTGATGTTATGTGTCGTGTCATTAAAGTTCTTTTTTCTTTAGTAAGTTATGGATCCATACACCTTTAGTTATGAGTTTTAAAGTTTTTTTGAAATATTTCTTATTGTGAAGAATAGATCTTATGGTTGTTACTGATGTTAAAATTTAGTATCATCTAATTCTACTTTTGCTTGTAGTTATTGATATGATTTTTTTTTTATTTATTTATTATTAAGTATATACATAGACTTGAAGGTTATTAAACACCTTAGAATGATGTTTTAAAATACTAGTATTGTATTTCTTTGCTAAATTACATCAT